TTAACTTAGCTTATTTTTTTTAAGCTATGTGAATGCCCTAAAATATTTCCTATACTGCTACGATATTGCATTTAAATACAGTTGTAAATGGACCCACAAAGTGATATGAGTACCTTTAAACTAATATTATAATAGTATGAAGTAAAACAGGTATAGTTCTTTATCTAGATCGACATGGCCCTGCCAAATTATATTACCTTCTCTAATACTATACAGTAGTTTGTTATCTTCCTTAGTCTTTTTTCTGTCCTTTACTTTGCCAAATTACTTGTAAAATTCTTACATGAAATACATAACTCAAACGGTTTGACATTTTGTTTTCACTTTTGCTGCATACAACTAGTGGTTAAACGGAACACAATTTCATACTATACTACTCCTTAGTTTAATTGTATTTTACGTTTCAACAATTAACATTGTCATCATCAGGTGAAAATGATCAAGTGGTTGACTGAGTTATATAACCCCTGACCACTCAGTCCACCCCATTATACTGTACTCATACCTTGACTGCAATAGACACTATTCTTGCATCACAAAAGACAGTGATTTGATTGGATTATACACTAGCTTATAAAACCAATGAGACAGAAAGGCTGTAAACATTATGACTTTGTGTTTACAGTCTTTCTGTCGAGGCCTCTAATTGGCTGTATTTGCTAGCGTACAATCAAATTAAATCGCTGCATTTACAAACTTTTATTATATGAGAAAGGTGGCTATTGCAGTCAAGGTATAAGTACAAAGTTCATAATAGCTTGGTTTTGTGAAGATAGATGTCAGATGGTAAAAAGAAGAAAACAGACAACATTAATGTACTGGTTGTTTATGGGGATGTGTTTCACTTTGATATTGGCTTCGAACTAGTGATTAATATACTGTCTTAATTCTTACACAATAACACATTTGGTTAATTTATGGTTCTCATTTTTACATCAGACCTCTGGTTTATCTTTTAATGGTTCCATATGGTTCCTTTCTGAGAAAGATAAAGTCTGAGACCAAAGGCATAACTAACAATTTTCATCTACACTTTCATGGAAACATAAGGAAAGAATGGTTTGAAGAGTGAATCTCTGTGGGTAGAATGCATGTATTATAATGGCCAGTTATTAATCACAAATTTAAGATAAAGTCTCAGACCAAAGGCATAACTAACAACATCTTTCCCCTACACTTTCATGAAATAATTAGAAAAGAATTGACTAAGATGTAAATTTCTTTAGCTAGAATGCCTTTGATATGATGGCTAGTACGCAATATTACTCAGAAATGAAAGATGTTGGTCTCGCCTACACTTTTATAAAGTCATTGCAAAATTTGTTTGAAGATTGGAACTGTTTTAGTAAGAGTGCCTTTATCATAATAGTCAGTCAACCCAATATTACTCAGACAGAGAAGATGTTTCAAAATCCTTCGCCTACTCGAAATATTACTCGAAAATGAAAGATGTTACAGACCAAAGGCACAAGTAGGCTACCAACAACTTTTGCCCACACTTTATTACTTTATTTACACTTGCCACTTCATTATAAAGGAACTGGTTTGAAGTGTTAATTTCTGTGGCTAAAGACAGAAGTATCAACAACTTTCGCCCACTATAAACACTATGAAAAAATTGTCTTTAAACGAAGAAATTTGTTTGATTGGAATGTCTTTCAATCATCCAAATAATATGCGTTAATCTTTATAAGCATAATTATTGTGCACACATTTGCCACCAATTTTCGCCCACTGTAAACATTACGAAGGAATTGGCTTGTAATGTAAATTTCATCGCCTAGCTAGAATCTCTTTGATCTCGACCAGTCATCCTACAAATATTAAGAAATATAAAAAAATAAGCGTAAAATAAAAAATAAAAATTTGGCTTGAAATGAACATTTGGCTATCAAGAATGCCTTTGATATACTGTCCAGCTAGCAAGTTAGTCTAGATAAAGATAGACAAGAATTTGGCCTTGTAGAAGCTATTGAATGATATAACTGTTTTACATCTGGCTTCTCTCTGGAAGTAGAGGTATTCCCAGGTCTTCTCTGGGAATTCCCCTATATCTTATCTATTCTGTTGCCAAATTTGGCTCCCTGATGATCATAGTATGATGCCTGGCCGCCTACACTCTATAGACTATTGAACTACCCAACAGCTGATAAGTATAGCCGAGTCCACAAATGATAGACAAGGGAGATAACTCTTCATTATTGATAATCTCATTAGACCACATTTATGTTAATGCACAAAGGCTCATGAAATATTATACCTGGCAACTCAAATCATGAATTTCATATGTCATAAGCACTTGTTCGAGATACTCCATTTATTTTACAGTTTATTATTAACTCACAGAATTTGTATTATACAGTGACGTTTTTACAGAAAAACCATAGGAGCCACCCCTCAACCCCTCTCAAGAAATGAAGCTGCCTGGCTTTGGTCTTTCCAGTAGAGTATTTATTACACTGTGTTATTGATGTGCCATTTTAGTGTTCCATATGCTAAGCATATTCTTTTGTCTAATTTCAGATGCTGCAGCAAGATTAAAGTTATTATTAAGTTTTGCTGTTGGTGCTCTACTTGGTGATGTCTTCCTCCATCTACTTCCTGAAGCGTGGGCTCATCTTGATAAAGGTAATGATATTATAGTTAGAATCAGTAATGTCCCTTCTCTTCAGTTTATAGGCAAATAAATCCTCATTTTAAATTTATTGGCTCATCCATGCCACGTATTCTCAAAACGATTTTAACGCTAAGATGTCCTAAGGTCTAAACTTCTTACATAGGATATCCTAGTGTTAAGATCGTATGAATACGTGGCCAGGATATAACTCTGAATACTTCATGTCAGAGAGGCTTATTGTTGAAAATTTCAATACCGTATTGATCATGTCTTCCAACTCAACAGCTCTGCTTATTCCTCGCTGACACCGTATCTAGTGCTTGTAGAATATTCGTAATCCAAATGTGCATGAAGGCATTAGAGGCTAAGAGACCTGTAGCATTCTGATAGTAGAAAGTTATTTTGTTATGCCATTAAAGAAAGAAATTGGGCAAAATTTCATTGTTCTTGCTAATTTTTCTGAAATCTGCTGAAACGTTTTACAAATGTATTATGTTTTGAATTGAAAATTGTATTTGATTTTGGTGATTTGTATTCCTTTTTGATTTTAATACGTATTTTTTTCAGATAGTGGAACAAACGCGTACACGAGTATAGGATTATGGGTAATAACAGGAATATTGATGTTTTTAATCATAGAAAAAATATTTGGAGATAAAGATGATGGCAGTTCAGAGGTTGGTTTTAGGTTTTAATTTCTAACATGAAATGTGGAGCGTATGTTGGCTTCACTCATTTCCAACTAGTGGTCCACAATTGCTCGTTAAAAATCTAGAAGGCACAATTCTTAATGGATTTTGACAGACCATTGTGTAAATGTTTATTATCACCCAAGTATTAACCCTATTGAAAATAAAAAAAATTGAAAAATATATAGTATGAGTTATTACCCTTGTTCTTGAAAATGCGTTCAATTTTTGGCTCGTAAACACTCTAGAAGGCACAATTCTCATGGATTTTGACAAAACTTGGTAATATTGTTCTTTATCTTCCAAAAAAAATTAAAAAGAATTGTAAATGTTAGTTTTAATAGTACTATTATCTTATCTCTGTGAGTCTAGTACAGGTATATAATCAGCTATTACCTTCTTATCTTTTATTGATTAGATCTAATATCAGATCTTATCAATCCCATGCTCCATGATATGACTATATCAACTATCTTATTTTTACAATGTTAAAAAATTACAACCTTTGTCTATTGCCTTGACATCATTGGGCTTTTTTCTTGTTTGAAAGTTGTTAAACACCTGTCTGTAATTGAATGTATGATTTACCTCCCTTGTGAGAGTTGAATTTACAGCCAATCAAATGTCTTAAACATCAAAATAAATTTACAATGCAACGTTTACTAGTTGTTAGACACATTGCCATAGTAATTACATTTGTTCTATCGGGGCCTCTACTTGGCTGTATTTGCTAGCATACAATTCTATCAAATTGCTGCATTTACAAACTTAAGTGATGCAAGAAAGGTGGCAAATGATGTCAAGGCATAACGTTGAAATCAGTCTAAATAAAATTCAATTAAAATTTCTTATCTTTTTAGTTTTCTTCTAGAAATATACCTCTACTAGCTTGTGAATCAATTATTTTAGTGATCACTGATATGGTTGATGCTCAATATAATTTCAATATCTTTGTAGGAACCAGAACAAAGAGAAAATACACCAATTAAAGAAAATGGATCAGTGAAAACCAAGAAAATATTGAATGATACAGATTTACGGAAGCGAACATTAAGTAAGAGTGAAGATGATGATGATATACCTGTTGTTAATGGTCGATTACGAAGTCATAGTTTTAGCACCGTCTCAAAAATAAACGTGAGTGTTTTTATATGTCTACATGTCAGGTGCATTGCAAATAATATTCACCTTACTGTCTCATAAATACAGTGGAGGTTCATTCCCTTTCCCGATAAAATCGTGCAGTTTAACGTATGTACAAATGTATGTTCTATATTTCTTCAGGGTTTCTCTCCAGTCAGCCCACACCTCAACCCTTATGAGTATCCGGCCTAGATCCCACCATGTCGATGTAGTAAATTTTCTGAGAAACCCTGCTCTAACTAATATAATATCAATTTAACTTCATTTATCGCAAAAATTTGAAAGAAATGAAATAAGTTTTATTCTTCAAAATAATCGATCTCAAGGGCCAAGGACTTTTCTTTGTTATTTTCCATTTAAAGAAATGTGGGATGGCTAAATTTTTAAACAACACAGTTCAGTCTGTGAATATAGTAATGAGAATGGTTAACTGTGGTTCATCTGTGTTTCAGATCTTACATCTTTAGTATCAGTTCCTGATGAAATGACTCTTAGCATTCAAAATTCATAATTTCATTTTTTGATATTCTGATAGATCTAAATATATTTTTCAGGTAACAGGTTATTTAAATTTACTAGCTAATGTTATTGATAACTTTACTCATGGTTTGGCTGTAGGAGGCAGTTATTTAGTTAGTTTAAAGGTACGTCACTTATATAGCATCATTTATATAGCATCATTTATATAGCATTGTTTATATAGCACCGTTGATATAGCATCGTTTATATAGCATAATTTATATAGCATCATTGATATAGCATCGTTTATATAGCATAGTTTATATAGCATCGTTTATATAGCATCGTTTATATAGCATCGTTGATATAGCATCATTGATATAGCATCATTGATATAGCATCGTTTATATAGCATAGTTTATATAGCATCGTTGATATAGCATCATTTATATAGCATAGTTTATATAGCATCATTTATATAGCATTGTTTATATAGCATCATTGATATAGCATTGTTTACATAGCATAGTTTATATAGCATCATTTATATAGCATCATAAACATAGCATCATTTATAGATTCTTTGGAGTAACAAGTTATACTTCAATGTATGACAGGCATACAGAGTATCTTAATACTTGCTGATGGTGCTAGATTTCAACTTTTTATAGCACCACAATTCAGAATTGACTCTGACATGCTTTTGATAGCAGAAATTTAACTCCATCTGGTAGTAAATCAATATTTAAATACTATACTAAGCCATTTTTATTTCTTGTACAGACTTATATTTTTATTTTACCTTTCCTGTAGGTTGGTATGGTAACAACAATAGCTATATTATTACATGAAATTCCTCATGAAATTGGAGATTTTGCTATTTTATTAAAATCTGGTTTTAACAGATGGAAGGCAGCCAAAGCACAAGTAAGTTCATTCTGCTACTCAGAGTTACCTTAGTGCTTTCTTGTGACTCAAGGCTCATTCCATGCTTAATACAAAATCCTTATCATGACAGCCAGTTTCGGAAATAAAGGCTAATTTTTCAATTAAAGACTTTATGAGCAAAGGAAGCTAACTCAGAGCTATCTTTCCAACAAAGGACAAGTAAAGGAAGCCTAGATAGAGCTTATCACAAGCCATCGACAAATACTTTTGATACCTAATTCACATCAGAACCACTTTTCTTTATTATAATTAAGAAGTATACAAGTTTAAATCAATTGACTTGAGGTATAAAACAACTCTCGTAGGCCTGCAACATACAGTTTATTTCTATAAATGAACTAAATGGTAATCTATATTCCAGTTATTAACAGCGTCAGGGGGAGTAATTGGAGCTTTAACAGCTTTAAGTGCTGAATCCCCAGAAGCAGCAGGTAAAGATTTTGTTATTCTTTAGATGTGAATGTTAATTGTTAACTTCTAATATGTACATACCGATTGGTGAAACTTTTTACTCATACCAAAAGTGAAATAAAGTTGGTCAGTGAGGTTAGAGAGCTTGATGATTCATTGATATATAGCGGAGTCATACTTTGAAGCTTGTGGATCCATTGTAGTTCTGTTCTATGTCTTTCTTTGGTGGTTGTATCCATCTCAGGATCACTGTCTATGATTCTGATGATGTGAACCAGGAAAGAATCATACTATCATATTATACCAAAAGGTTTGCTGTCAATGTGACAACTTTCTCTGAATGCTTTTATAAATTATTTACTGACAATGTGTGTCCATCACCAAAAAAGTTCTTATTCTTGATTATAATTTTTTTTACTAAAGGTAACAGAACAGCATGGATATTACCATTTACGTCTGGAGGATTTTTATATATAGCTTTAGTCACTGTTGTACCAGAATTATTACAAGAAAAACGTGGAAGGTATGTAAGAGATCATAAAGCAAATTAACTTGTTCCAAAAAACTGTCTTGACAACTATCAGTATGACAGGTGCTGTAAGCATGGACAGAGGTACAGCATGTTGAAAATCAGATGGTTGATATATTTGATAGAGAGCTGCAAACTATCAACAAAAAAATGCAATATCAAAGGTTGTAAAAGAGAAAAAGCAAACCATGAACCCCGCTCTCCAATCAGCTATATCTCTCTAGGAATCTTTATTTACATCGCCATTAATGTTCAAGAATTAAAATTTGACGAGGGAAAAGAACAATAAGAAATAATTTGTGAACCGTAAAAACCCAGAACAACCTCTCCCTTGAATTTCTAATTGAGTTCTTGTTGGCATCTCTGTTTAAGTTTAGAATTTAAATTTGTATTTTACAGGGAATCAATAAAGCAAGTGATAGGTTTAATATCAGGAGTGTTATCTATGGTATTAGTTACTGTGTTATTTGAAGAGTGAAAGCACCTGCTGTTTTTTATTGTATATATTGTTTTACTTTGTGATAGAGTGAATAAGTGCTAGAAACTACCTGATCATTTGAAAACCACAACTGTATCTTGGATGGGCATTTAGAAACCACCACTGGATCTTGAATGGCCATTTAGAAACTACAACTGTATCTTGGATGGCCATTTAGAAACCATCACTGGATCTTGAATGGCCATTTAGAAACCATCATTGTATCTTGGATGGCCATTTAGAAACCATCACTGGATCTTGGATGGCCATTTAGAAACCATCATTGTATCTTGGATGGCTATTTAGAAACCATCACTGGATCTTGGATGGCCATTAAGAAACCATCATTGTATCTTGGATAGCCATTTAAAAAAAAACCCCACTGTATCAATTAAATACCACCACAGATTTGATTTTAGCCAAAATAAGATGTTATAGAAATCTTTCAGGAGATATCAAGCCTTATTCTAAAACATTCTAGTTTTCAAGATTAGCTCGTTTTTCTGCAATATTTCCTTCCATGATGAATGCCTTGTGATTAAGTATGTATCAACAAATGCCAAAGAAACAAAATAATATGCAATCTATATCCATTATTAGTTTATAAAAAATGTGTATGTAGGGTGGGCAAGTGGTCTAGGCTTTTTATTTTTTTTATCAAAGCTATTCAAGCCAAATCTTGTTGTGCCATACTGGCCTCTTTTAGGCTCGGTATATCAGTCCCATATTTTTGAAAAATAAAGAAGTCCCAAATTTTCATCAGGTTTTTCTTAAATGTTAGTATTATTATGATCTGTCTTAGTTTTCACTGAAATGTTTTCCACTGCTGTCCAAAAAAGCATTAATGACAGGGGCTATATTTTCTCCTGTTCCTTATAGGGATTTATAGGGGGAAGGAGGGTAATAGTAAAGATTTATAGGGAGAAGAGAGGTAATAGTAAGGATTTATAGAGGGAAGAGAGGTAATAGTAAGGATTTATAGGGGAAAGAGGGGTAATAGTAAAGATTTATAGAAGGAAGAGAGGTAATAGTAAGGATTTATAGGGGAAAGGAGGGTAATAGTAAAGATTTATAGAGGGAAGAGAGGTAATAATAAGGATTTATAGGGGAAAGAGGGGTAATAGTAAGGAATTATAGGGGGAAGAAGGGGTAATATAATAGTAAGGGGGGAGGAGGGTAATGCGACCATTAAATGATAATGAGATCAGTTATCGTAAGAAAGAGGTTGAAAACCCTTGGCCTATAGGCCTAAGGTATTTTTTTTTCAATTATAACAAAAAGAGAACTGTATGGCAATGAGTTATTTTCAAAATTATTGTGTTCATGTGTGGATGTGTTTTTTGTGCAGAGTGTATTTGAATACTAAGAATGTTAGAGTGAAGAATATCTTTGTTTTTTGTTAAATTTGTTGTTTTTTTTATATCATAATTTTGACATGTTAAATATATTATAATCCTTGTAAGACATTTAGAAGTATCACGGCACATTAAGAAATAACAGTTTTTATGGATATAGGCTTCTATTTATTATTTAAACACAACGTTTCATTACACATACAGGTAACGTTATCAAGTGATGATTAACTATAAAAAAAACTATAACTTCTTATATATAACAGAAAAAAAAATCCAAAAATACAAAATAAACTTATTAGGGATTGACTCAGCTAGTTATAAGGAGTTGTAGTTTTTGTTATAGAACGTTACCTGTTTGTGTAATGAAACGTTGTGTTCAATAATAAATAGAAGTCTATATCCATAAAAACTGTTGTTTCTTAATAAATGTATATTGCATTTATTGGATAATGATTGTACTTTTTTATCCAATCAGCATAGGCTTAATTTTTTTATACAGTGAAAATTTATTTCATTAAGAATTTCTCAATCATTTAAGTCACATGACAGAATCGAAACATTTGTGCTCGAAACATTTGTTCAGATTTCAAACAAGCTTGATGTTTCTTGAAACAAAAAACAGACTTTTGTCACTAAACAATAATTCAGGGACAAAAGTCTGTTGCACGCTTTGGGTTTTAGGTTCTAAATAAGTTTAATCGTATTATTAAAAACATTTTTGGTTTCCTCCCCCACTTCTCAACCATGAAAATTATATTCAATATGACCTATCGATAAAGTTATCATTTTGATTACTGTTTACTCATTGATTCCAGTGATATGAAGATCATTTTGTGATTCATTTAAATTGTTAAAGATCAATATTCCTGGAAATCTGATTCAGTTTAACAGTTAACCAATACCTATATTTGATATAACATGTTTTTTATTTATATAAATCATTGTAATATAATACTCACATTAAGTGCCAATTAATAAAGAAAGAAATCTGTCTTATTTTACAATTTTTGTCTGGAAAAGTAGTGAAGCGAAGATGTTTATGCATTGCTAAGTAAGATTCAAAGCTGTCCACTTTATTCTGAGATAATTTGAATAGTAGTAATGAAGGGATTTTAAAGAGATTGTCTAAATTTTTTATGTGTGTCAGGGACACTGATAGCATCAATCTGCACCATTCCAATTTTCAGTCAGACATCAGTGATTCCAGCAATATCACTCAAACTAAGCTAATAGAGAAGGGCTTTATGTGATAAAAGCATATCTTGCGATTAGTGACGTCATCAACCACTTAATTTGAGTTGCAGGAATTGCAGGAACTACAGATGTCTGATCGAATTTGAATGGTGCCAATTTATTCTATCAGTGTCCCTGATACACATAAAATTTTTTAGAAAACCTCTTTACAATCCCTTTAAGCTTGTATAGTTTGAATGGATACTTATGTATCTGTTTATTTTGAATGCTACATGGATGTACCCAAATATTTCATCGACTATATACATATAAATGATACGACTGACAAAAATGCTCATATTAAGACAAATTTTTTTTTATACAAATGATAATTTTTTATAAACTACTATAGCTTATATATTTCATATACATGCAGCTAAGACCACAAGGGTACTGAGCTATATATTCAGAATAATTGTAAATATGAAATTTTAAAAATTGTTTATATCTTATATAATTACTAGAAAGCTCAATTCATTTAAAAGTTAAATATACAGAGGCCTTATTCTCAAAAACATCACTTACAATGAATTTAGAATTCCAATCATCTGATTGGTCAATCACTAAAATCAATATGAATTTAAGTTTTATTATCCAATCAGATTACTGTAGATCTTAAAATCTGGATTTTGTCTTAGTTAATGTAGAATTATCCACACTAAATTGTAAAAACGTCAATGCCATTTTCTATCAAATTTCAACCAATTATTTTATTGTTGTGTTAGGGTGTTACGAGCATAGAATTCCCATAAAAACCACGGGCCTGGGTCATGAAGTTATAACTATATATTTCTAAGTGCTGTTAAATATTTTACAGTTGTTGTATGTCAGGCTTATAATTGCTTGCTTTGTTATATTATATTATGAAAGAGGAGAGGGGTAATTGTGTAGCCAAAGGGGGGCAGCCTCCCCCAATTGCAGCCACGAAAGCAAGTTTTTTGGGCAAAAATCCCATAACTAGGTTAGAGATTCGGGCAATCTCAGATATCCTGCCCCCTCTCAGATGTTAACCTGGCACCGCCACGGAGAGGGGTAATATAGACAAAGCCTGTTCCCCAATGTATATATTTGAATATATTTGTGAATGTTGACAAAAAAATGAATTAAAATGCAAAAGATTTGAATTGTTTATGATATTTTTTGTATATTTTTGAATTGGAAGGCTGTGAAAATGCATGCAAAATTGTACATACAAAGCTGTATATCCCTTCTTGTTTCAAGTCCCTTCCTAAACATAGATTCAGAAGTTCTAATATTTTCATTATATTTTTTATACAGTAAAGTTGTATGGGATGAATTACTTGGTCTATTTTCAAATAACTATATCATAGTCTAAAAGCAGAATGGTGCATTTCCCTAAAATTTATCATGACACCGCACGAAATCATCTCGCGAGCTGCAGTTGGCCGTAGGTTGCACAGGCCTGCTCTGAATTGCTGTGTTCTATTTTGCAAATAATTTTTATTCCTGTATTAATGGGCAGAAAATTTAAATCATTTAATATAAGACTTTTTTTAAAAAAAATTTTCTCAAAAAAATAGAGAATGGGTTTTTAAGCAGAATAAGTCTTGCCTAATAATGAAGATATTTTTCTATTGGTTTGCCATCAAAATGCATGAGACAATGTTTGGTAATTTTACCTTTTAAATAAAAGGGGTTAAACATGGGACCTTATTTTGTTAAATGATATGTATTAAAAGCCCCTAGTTTAAAGAGTGTTCAATCAAATAAAGACCATAAACTGCTATAAGGATAAATTTGTGTGTTTGTGTGTAGCCCTATATAGCCATGTTTGTTTTATAAGTATGTCATGCTGTGTTGAAAATAGGACTATTTTTGAATTTGTAATCCAATATAACAAAATGAATGCAATAAAATCATATTTTTGAAATAAAGGTACTTTTATTTATAGTTGTCTGTAGGGCCTATGGCTTGTCTCCTGTGCAGCAATAATATAGCAAAGAAATGAATGGAGTTTCTTCTACACCCAATAGGGCTAATAAAGACCTGCAGTGTACAATGAGGGTTATTATGCCAGGAAAACCCGGCATAGCCATAAGCCTACATTTTTTCGTAGCTTAAACGAGCACAGAATGTAGCACACCGGGCCTTGGTTTTTTGTCATATCAGAACAACTAGACGCTTTTTGCATGTCATCCCCTCCGACCTGCATCACCTGTAAGGGCAAACAAAATCCGAAGTAATTACTCGTCATACGCTGGGATTTAATCTTTTAACCCTGGACATTTAGGTTAGCGATTCACTAAGCCACTGCGGCTCCCCATGACAGAATATTCAAGCGATTTATTCAAGTGCATTATTCATCATTTATTAAAAGCTGAATTCTCAACATGTAGACCTATTTGTTGGGGAAGCAGGCTTTTTTGTTCCATATCCATCAGGTAAGAACAGAAGTAAAAGCAATTTTCTTCTTGTTTCAAATCTTGATCAAATGTTTCTTTGCCAGATGTATTTTTTTACTTATCAAAGCCTTTGTGGATTATTGCCCTTGATCTTTAAAAAATAACTGTCATAGATGTCTGGACAAACGCGTAAAATATGACTGGTAAAAAGCGGGAAATTTTTCAATCCCACAATGCAATATGTTATTAGAAAAATGGCTGCCTCCATAAAAATTCACAAAAATCATATTCCCCGATGGAAAAATAGATTTTAAGACAAAATAAGACATGAAATTTAGGAGAGAAAAGGCAGGATGTTCAAAGGTAAAAAGTAAGGTCGAGAGAGCACCAGCTTCACGACTGTCAAGTCACAAATACCGAATAGAGGAGGCTGGAGACAAGTCTCGTGCTGCCACATCGAAAAGGAAAGATGCAGGTGCGTGCTTGATTTTGTATGAAACTTTGTTTTCAGTACATGTGTAAGTCAATAAATCAATGATTTAATAAATGGTGCCGTCTGTGGGATGTTAGGTGCATACATGACATGATTTTATGTTTATTTCTCTACCTCACTGCTCAGGTTTAGATCATTTTACTGTTGTTGTAGTTGTCTCCCCTTGGCCGACCGGTTTTATAGATAAGAACTGTCACCGTTAGCAATCATTTCATGGCCCAATTATTTTGGGTCAAATAAGACAAGGGCTTTACCTATAGAATCAGGGCATTTAAAACATAACTCCAAATAAGGATGGATAATTCATACACATTTTCAGCCAGAGTTTCAAGTTGCTGTAACTGAGAGGATGCAATGTATTTTCAAAGAGTTTAAAACTTCTACTTCTAAACCTTCTAAGCTTACTGGTCATTATTTTGAGGTCATTTGTCCTTTAACTTTTGACCTGGTGTAAAGGTCCATATAGACCATGATGGCTACTTCTTGACATAGTTGTATTGACTTACCTGAGTATGTTATTAACTTTGTCTTTGTTTAAATCATAGAACTTCTATGTTGAAATGTTGATGTCCTGTCTATGAAAATTAAGAAAAACTGTCATGGGTTATGTTATTAATCTGTGACTGATCGTCAGACACTGTCGTGTATTTCATATGATCAGTTATTATGATTTCTTTGTTTGGAATTTTCAGAAGTGATTGGAAGAACTTCCAGATCAGCCACTGGAATCAGAACAAAATTCTATTCTCTCACTGGTGATAAACCCAAGCCAAGGCAGCGTGTGGCAGCTAAAAATAGAAAGCTAAGGAATGCTTCAACCGCTAAGAGTACTGCTACTACACAAGATGGCGGTATAACTGAACCTATAACAGGTAGGACTGTCCTTCTAAAGCTAATGAATTATCATGTATTCTTAATCATATCATTATGTTCTTTTTGCATATAATTAATAGTTTTAACCAATCATAAATGTTCATGTATGTAAAGTCTGGATAAACAAAGAAAAAGACTTTTTGACCTTTCTTGATCAGTCACTCATTAGAATTCTGGCGGTAATTCTCTTCTAATTTAGCTAATTATGAATTAATTGTGGACGTGTGAGACAAACTGGTATTTTTCCAAGTCATTAAAACATTTTTACTTTCTATTCATATTAGAATTAGCATTTTCATTTTCATAAATGAAAATAAGGGAACCCATCTTTAAAGAGACAGGTTTTTTAATGGGCTGATTTGGGTCTTGAATATATGTAAATAGTCCTCAGAAGTACTAGAAAATTGCATAATTCCTTCAAAAATAAATCAAACTAGAAATTTCACTTCCTATTTCTATATACATCTTGTTTTATATATGGCAGAGTCTCAGCAAAAGACGAGTCGTATTTTTAACATTCAAACGCGGATAATTCTGGACACACATGGATTTGAAGGTTCAAATTACGACAGTGAGCTGTGAACACTAGTATTGATTGGCTTTGATAAATAATTCCCGTTCCAGAGACTGGGGTACCATTGCCAAACCTGTCCCTTTAAAGTACCAAAAATAAAATGGATTTACATAAGGTAAATATTAGAAATTGTCTTTGTTATGATATTTTTAGACATCTCTCATATACTTTCAGAAAATCAAGAAACAGAGTCTGGTGCAAAAAAATCACAGTCTGCCCAAAAAGCAGCCAGTCAATCCACAAACAATAGTAACCAAGAAAGCAACCATGTCCTGTCAACACATAGTGCAAAACCATTATCAAAATCTGCTAGTCAACACTCCGCTGTAAAAGGAAAACTGACTGGAAGATCAAAACAAGCAACTGTTTCGAACGCAAAAAAAGAATCTGGTGTAGGAACTAAGTCAGTGTCGCCCAATGTGCTAAAAACTGATCTAAAACCTGAAGGAAGAGAACCCCTTTCTCAAACTGATAAAATATTGTCTGAAAACAAATCTAATAAATCTGCCATAGAAGTATCACCCACAAGTGCATTATCTTCCACAAACAATCTAAAGAGATCTCCAAAACGTTCTTCCAAAAAATCTTCTGAAAGGCAAAATCCAAAGCAAAGGGAACTCACAAAAAATGCCACTACACCTAAATTCTCTAGTGCACCGTTGGATAATTGTGAAGGTGTAGGCTCAGTGTTTTTGACTCCTCCACTGGAAGTGACCCGAGGGGGGGACATCGATGCTCCAAGTCAACTGGAAGTCTCAGCTTCTCCAAAAAATGAGGCTGCTGGGTCCAGGAAGCTTGATTCTAGAACTGAAGAGAAAGGTTCAGAAGCAGTAGTGAAAACAGCTAGTGAACAACCAAATCCTGAGAAGGAACAAAACCCACAAACAATGAAGGGAAAGAAAAGAACCTCCACAGAACTTAAAAGGCAAAGTGCTTCACCTAAGACAAGGACAGATGAACTGAAAATTAAAATGCCATTTCCAAAGAAAACTAGTGTCCAAACCTCGCGGAAACTTTCAAAATCCCCAAAAAGTCAAAGTGGATGCCCTCCGAGTGTGAACGCAAGAGGAAATAATTCATTATCGCCTCAAAATTGTGAAATGCTTGAAGATCCACGAAATCCCAGAGTTACCTTATCTCCTGTGAAAACAAAGTCATTATTGAAAACTACTAAAACTGCCACTAAAGTTGCCTTTATACCTCAGAATGTGAAAGGGACAGGAATTGGTCCAAAACGAAAAGTGTCTGCCTCTCCCCACAAGAGAGGCCACCCTAAGGAACTGCCCAAGGAACACCAATCATTACATGCAAAACACTACAAAAATATCAACTCAAAGTCAAAAGTGAGACTTCCAAATTCACCAACCTCCTTGAACCAACAGCCTACTGAATCTAGAAAATCATCAAAATTTAATAGACAGGCACCACGTCCAGTTCAAGGGAGATCACCCAGATTTCCAAGGTCACAGTCAGATGAAGAGGATCCTCTGGAGTCTGTAGTTTGTAAGTATGATGAATGGTTCAAAGGATACCTATAGTGCTGGGTATTGATTACCAAATTGAGATCAATTATCGATGGCAGACTACCGATCAATAATCGATTAATAATCGAAATAATTTAATCCAGAAACCCTGTAAATACTAAATTAAAAACATGCCAAAATTCTTAATTTCATTGGTTATTTTTGCATCATAGAGGTATATATTCTTGCGGGTACAGTGGAGAAAATGTAACTTCGACATGTAATGAATTATTTAGATCATTTTACCCAGCCCCTAAGTACCTATAAACTATTTGATTTAATTCATTTTTTAACAAAAATGAAAGGAAGTTGTAGGGACATTATCACTAGAGCACATTTCCACTATAATAAATACTGATACTGTCCTCAAATTTCGTGAAGGAAGATAGAATTTGAGAGTTGTTTATTTGCTGTTTCGTACAGCTTTAGTACTTCTGAAAACTATTTACATATATTCCATGTCCAAATTAACCCAAGAAAATGCTGATTGTTGCACTTTATAAATGCATGAAGCCATATAAAAGTTGGTCAGTGATTTAACGGTTACCCATCTTCTTTTCAGCCACCTATTCAGCTCCTAACATTGTACCACATAGAAACATGACTAATAGTATTACAGATAATTATTATGGTTCCCCGCAAGGTCAGTTAACATTCTATTCTGAAGGATGAAAGTTCTGAAAAGAGTCAGTTTGATTTAGCTTTTTTTTTCCAGACATGGCTGGCATGACGGTGCTTAATTACCGAGAAGATGTTGGATAACAAGAATAGGTTAAAGCAATAGTCAATAAATGACAGAAATAGTACATGTATATACATCTTGTACTTCTTTAGTTTTCATACAGGCTATGGCGTTAAAGTTCCCTCCACAAATTGAAATAGGAAAAAAAAAGAAACTGTTACCATCTAGTCAAATTTCCCTCATGGCATCACTGATGTCCTCCTTAACCTTATCAGGTGTGTAAGAACAGTGCTTGATTCTAAATCCTGATGAAGTTGAAAAGCTGTGGAAATTTAATTTTCTTGACAATTCTTTTTATTTTTGATAAAATTACATTTTAGATCTGAATTACAAATACCTAAAGCTTTCCATTTGCCATTTTGTTTCAGCCCCAAAATCCTCAAATAAGATAGTACCATCAAAATATGCTCCAAGTAGTATCACAGACACTTTTACTAGTCCTTACCAGTCTAAACAGGGTAGGTTCAATCTTCATCTTTGAGGGGTGTCTGCTTCATGCACAGAAAATAGAAATTGTAGGAGAGGTAGTCCAGGGAAACTCCTACTGACCTGCTCTGGATTGGACTAATGAAGGCTGAAAAGGAACTGAGTCTCAAAAAAAACTTCAACAAGTTCAATTTTCAGCCATTTACACCCAATTGCCTCCCTCCCACCAGTAGTGTCCCACTATGTTCATGGTGCTTTGGTTCATTTACTTTAAAAACCCTGGTCCAGAGCAACAGGTACTGCATCTTCACAATGTAAAGCTTTTATTTGACATAGTTTGTGATAGCTTGATATTGTGAAGATGCAGGTGCCAGTGCAATGAGAACTATGGTTTGAAAAATATATCTTCGTCTCGCTCAGATTAATTCAGGACACATCTAATCGCAGCTTTAGCATACTTTTTTTGCACTCTATTTTTGTGATCCAACAGTTTGATGTAGACAGAGATCTCTCCTTTAAAGGAGCAGATCTTTGGGTGTACAGAATCTTTATTTATGGTTTCAGATTCTGACCAATCAGAAGGCAGCGAAGATGAAGGGGGACCAGTGATGACTCTATCGGGGGATGAAAAAGGTGCAGGGAGTTCGTCAAGTGAGGAAGAGCAGAGACCTTCATCTGACAAATCATATTTCACTGATGTTTGTGATAAAGATGATCTTCGAAGACGAGGATTTCCTCTCTCAGAATCTAAGCCTGGAAGGGGATATGATCCTTACGTGGATTATGAACCTTATCCAAGGAATCCTTACGAAACACCTCAGTATCGAAGGTGGCAAGAATCAAGATATCCATATTACCCAGAAGAAATGGGATACATGCCCCCACAGATTGATCCCCGATACTCAGAGCCATATGGAACTGGTGGTGTGTTCAGACGCCCCCCTGGTTTTAAAATGGACAGAAGAAGAACAATTGATTACAGATCTAAATATGGACAGCAAAGTTACCCTGCTTATAATTCAGCATATATGAGATCTGGTCCAGCCAGACCACGCCCACCAGAGACTATGACAAGAGCTGAGTATGAGATGCAAAGAATGGATGAACCTCGGGGGAAGTATGGTCATCCATATAAAGGACCATTCTACACTGAACCTAGACGTCCATATTTTCCAAAGGCAGAGCCATGGGCAAGGCATCCATATGGTTTCCATCCAGAGGAACACTATAGCTCATATCGAGTACATGAAAAAGCGCCAGTTGTTCATAAAAGTAAATATCAGAAAAGCAAATCCACGACTGACCCACCAGTCCGATCCTTCAGCAGTGATGCAGTTGAAGTGATAGATTACTCCAGAGAAGTGCCAGAGGAAGTTCCTCCACCAAAGCCCAGGCATGCAGCCCATACAAAACACAGCATAGCAGATGATTGCTTGGTAGTGGACATGAATGAGTTTAGGAAACCGAAACCTAAACGGAAAAAAAGATTACCGAAGCATTTACCAGCACAGGAAGAGATAAGCATAGTTACGGAATCAAGCGACAATGAAAGCTTAATGCAATATCCTACCAGAGCTGTTCCTTTTAGTCAGTTCTTAGTGACTCCAGCTAAAGTCTCAAAGCAGATGCATAGAATTGCTGCCAAGCAGAAGACTAAGAGGTTGAAGCCATCCATGCTACGATCAAAAAAGATTCTGAAGAGGGCCATCCACAACAGCATTATGTCTGATTATGAATCTTCTATTTGTGGGGATCCACAGATGGTTTCTCCGGATATTTTGAACTTCTCAACTGAAGCAGTTTATGGAACGAGCCAAGTCAGTTTTGAAGAACCCAATCCATCACCAAAGAGATCAATGAGTGCTCCAAAAGCAGGCAGGTCATTTTCCAAGGATAGGAAGCTTGGAAAGGGTTCATCAGTAGCACAAAAATCAAGAGGAAAAGAAATTTTGTCGGTTAAGCCAGGCGCAAAGTTGTACTCGTTTAAAGACCCTGTGGATGATCAGAGGTTTCTTCCTGAAGTTCCAGCGATTTTTATTGATGATTCTGTTGATAGAGGAACAGCTGAAGAACCTTACGAAGATTTCTACGAACAGACTTGTGAAGAAAGTGACAACCTGTTTGATGCTGAGGATGATGAGGATGAGCCTGAAAAACTAGACAAGGATGTGGATGCTGTGCAAGATGAGAATCTGGAAGAGTATGTCAATTATGCTGAAATGGAGGAAGAGTCTGCTCTGGAGTCTGAATCAGAAGACAATCAAGGTTATGGATTCGAAGATGATGAAGTAGTTGTATTGTCTGATTCTTCTGAAAAAACTGCATCAGTTGTCAATCCATTTGCGGAGCCAGAAACAGAAGACCTGGAAGAATATGAAAGGGTTTCTGGAGATGCAGCTCAAAAGTCTCAACTAATTCATGAAGGCCTTGATGATGATCCTGATATTGTTAAGAAGATGCATTCAGGTCCACCTTTCAAGAAAACACAAAAATCACCAAAAGTCTCTAAATCAAAGAAGGATATTCATGAAGACACCAAAGATCTTAAGAAGTCTCAAAGATCGAAAGAAAGTGGATCACCAACAAAAATGCAAACCAATAAAATTGGACAGATAACGGAGATGAAAAGCAAAGTTTCTAGTGATACCCCTCGAGAGGTACTGAACATCATCAATGTCAAAGAGCCCAATTTTGGAGGTTTTCCCAAGAGGAAATACAGATCTGCAAAGGCCAAAGAAAAGGCTTCCAAAGAGTTGCCTGTAGAATCACAAAACCAGGCGGAAGTTTTGGCAAATGATGGGAAGGAGGGCCACTATACACGTCCCAAAACACTTAAAAAGCAGAAATCTCCAATTACCAACATATCTCCAATGTCAAAAACATCTCTATCACCCAAGTCATCCAAATCAAAATTTCAAACAATGAGAGGCTCTGGTGGTCCAGAAAAGATATCTCAAGTGGACCATGAGGAACTTTGTCATGACCCACCACCATCAGGGCAAACGTTGGATTCCACAGAACAGATTGAGTCTCATCAGCCATCAGTTCCAGTAAGAATCCAAAAATTGGTAAAGGCTAGATTAGCTGTGCATGGGCCAAACAATAATGATTTTGGAAACAGTTCTGAAATTGGATCTAAAATTAAGAAGTTCATGTCTGCAAAATCAAAATTAGTAGAGAACACATCAGTAGAAGAATTGGAAGTGATTACAGATGATAAAGTTGATCTTGAATCTTCTCCTCAAAGACCTGAAATTGTTCCTAGAGTCAAAAAATATAAAGCTGCAAAACCGTCCATGGTACAGCCAGAAGAACCACACTCAGCTAATTCTGATGATGAGCATGCTACTGAAAATGGCCAAGTTGATCACGAAATGCATGAGCACTCAATTCCCCAGCTCAAAGATGTCCTGAACAAGAAAATAACAGTTCCTTGCAACTACCTAAACTCTATTGTACTTCCTGTTGTGGTCATGAGAAGGGCCTTGGTTCATACTCGAACTATTGCAGGGGAACCAATCTATGTCCGTGCTATCAGAACACAAATCAAAAAAGAAAAGGATCATATAGTGAGCATTAAAGTATTTGCAGATCCTTACAATTTTTCTGATGATGAGAGTGTTCCTAGTGTTAAATCATCTCTCGGAAGCAGTTCAGATTCAGAAATTCGCTATTCACTTGTTGAACCCAAAGATCTGCCAAAAGAGAATTCTCATAATATAGAAATGGAAGGTGAACAGGAAAATAGTTCCGGCTCATCACGCCAGATCTTTGATGATGCCAGTGACATCTTAGGACATCTGTCGTCATCAGATGAAGACAGCAATACTCTGTACTCTTTGGCTGAAGATGCTGTTGAGTTCACTGATGATTTGGAAAACAAGGATGAAGAAATAGCTGAGAACCAGTCTGAAACTTATCAATCAAATCAAGAGGAAGCCAAAAATGAAAACGAAATGGATGTGCAACAAAATTCTGAGGAAAATAACAAAGGCAACCAAAATGGTGTGAAATTTTATGTCTCAGAAAGACTTTTACAATCCGTGCCAACTCAAGAACCAATTTGTTCAAAAATTCTAAGAAATCAAAAATCAGATGAAACTAAAACGTCTGTGAAAGGTAGGAAAAGACGGAAAAGTAAAGAAAACACTAGAAACTCTTCTGCTTCACCAAACTTGCAGAAGTCTCCAACAACTAGTCCAAAGTCCTCAAAGAAAGGAAGACAGAGTGGCAGCAAAGTCACTCCCGAAGTTCTAACTAGTGACATCAATGAGCCAGTCCATGTGAAAAAGAAAAGGGGAAGACCAAGGAAAGATAGATCTCTGACCAGTCCAGGGCTCATAAACCAATCTACTTCTTCTGAACTAGGCTCAGTCCAGTCAATAAAGATGAGCATACCAAAGTCATCCATGTCTGAGAAAACTACCAGGGCTTTGGACAAGTTCATGGAGTCAAGTGAGTCAACAGCTTCTGATACTGTTTATACTGAAGAAGATCAACCTGGTACTCCTGAACTTTTTGCAGATGCTGAAGATTTGGTGGAAAAGGATCAAGAAATAACTGGGCATAATTTGGATGAGGAAATTCAAATGGATGAGAAGGAACAAAAAGCTTCAGAAAAGTCATCACATGATTCTTTGATGAAACCACAAACTGAGGATCTCAGAGATTTTCACAATGCTGAGAAAGCTGTTTCAATAGAAACAGATGAAGGTGTAGTTCAGGACTTTGCTACTAAATCCACAGCTTTGTCTGATAGTAGTTCTGAAGAGTCTGAGGAATTGTTTGAACAAACTTCTTTGGATGAATCAACTGCTAAAGAACTACAAAAGAAGAAACAATGTTGTCAGGACCAAGAAGAAAACCAGTCAATAAAAGATGCACCGGAAACAAACAAAGAAACATTTGAATCTGGAAATGTCGTGGAAGTCCATTCAGGGTTTGTTGAAGATGTTCCTGAGAATTCTCTTCATGATGGTGCTGGTATCTCCAAATCTTCCCTTCATGTTGGGCCGAAAGAACCCAAATTAAAATCGCCAACAATATCAAAGAGCAAATCTGTGATATCTTGTTTAAAGGCAGATGTAACTGGTAAACAACCAAGCACATCTACACCAAAATTTTTCCTGAACCAACATCAATGTCTCCAAACAGGATTAGCAGACATATCAGAAGAGTCAAGCTCAATGGATGAGGGTAGCAAGCCTATATCCAGAGGCAAAGTCAAATGGAACAAAAAATTCAGGAGAGATGTCCTTAAGAAGTCAAGAAATAATAGCTCAAAGGATCAAGCATCAACGTCGAAATCTGAATCAAACTATGAAGCTCCTATTGCTGACACAATCTCAGATATTTCATCAATTTCATCTAATTCGTTCGTTCAAAAAAATGATTCTTTGAGCATAACTGGTGTCCAATACATGAGCTCAAGTATGGAGGATGAGGAAGAGGATTATACTCTGAACGATGATGGGTCAGTTCTTTGCGTAATGGATCCGCCCACTTTCATCAAGTCCAGCACTGATACTGTTAAGAAGGCAGCTGATAGCACAAGCGATTTGGGAAAGGTGAGAACCCAGAAGAGACATGTCAGTGCCAGAGAGCTTCAGAAGCAGGCAAATGACCATTGGAAAAAGATTGCCCAGGGTCCCTCTTCCTTGTATTATGATATGGCATTAGAAAAAAATCACTCAAATCCTATAGACCTCACTGATGTCACGACCAAGAACTTGCCATCCAATGGGTTCCAACTGATCAGCTCGTTCGAGAGCTTCGATCCAAATCTTGATGAGGTCACATCCCAACAGAAGATCCAGAAAGGTGCGCATGAAATTGAAGATATCTTGGAGAATATGTCATCTCTTCTGGACACTTTGTATGGTCAGAAAATGGATTCTGATTCTGATGAAGACATAGGTGCATCAAGGAACTTGGTATCCAGTGTCCAGAATAAGATATCTGATGCAGAGGAGGTCCACAACAGCTTTTCACATATACCAGATGAAGAGCGCCAAACTGCTGATGCTTGTGTAGGATCTGATCTCGATCAGGCCACAGCTGTAGCTGACCAACGTCCTCCTCTTTCAGATAAAGAAAAGAGTCAAATCAAGAGTCCAAGAATAGCCAAAAGTATCACACCACAAAAAAGTGCTTCTCCTTTGCCTCTGCAAAAAAAATTAGATCAAGCTGTCAAATCTCCAGCTGTGAAGAAACTGAATCTTTCTGATCCACAAGGTCAATCCAAAAGCAAGCCTAGTCCTATTGATGAGAGTTTGGCTGATTCAAAACCTGGACATAAGACTGATCCACAAACCCAATTTAATCCTCAGACTGATTCAGAAGCACATCTGGAAGAGGTTGAGGCTGCCTTTGATCAAATTACAGAGGCCAAACTTTGTCCAAATACTGGTTCCCAAGCGCAAGAGCCTATGGAAGACACTAAGACTGCCACAGATCATGAACATGGACAGTTGGATGATGAGAGTGATTCTAGAACACTTTCGATTAGCGACAGTCTTTTGTCTTATACTCAGATGAACGAAACAACCCAGAAATCTATGGACAAAAGTTTGAATGCCCAAGTTGTGATTGAGCCATTAGAAAAGAAATTGATAATTGATGGTATAGTTTGGAAAAGAAAAGGATCAATCTGGAAATCTTCCTCGTCCAACTTGGTCAAGACATCTTTGGAGATCTCTCAGTTCCTGAAAGACATGCGACAAGATGCTAAACCAAAAGACAGCAGTACCAAACAGAGACAAGCTAGCACATCAACTAAAGAACTGACAGAGTTTGAGAGAGCCATCAGCAGTCCTAAGAATTTAGTCAAGAAAGTCAGAAAAATTAGGATCAAAAGATTACCCATTGAAGAATCTGAAACTTACAAGATTGACAATGCAAGTACGAAAGCCACAAGTCCAGAAAAGATCAAATGGAGTCCTAGAAAGGCAACGAGTCCCCAAAGAGAGATAACAAGTCCGAAAAAGGTGATGATCAGCCCCAAAAAGGTTACCATATTGAAGCCAAAATCACCAAGTCCAGAAATTCAAGCACCAACTTCTAAATTGGCCCAGAATATCTTAAAGAAGAAACAAATAGAAGCTGAAAAGTTGCAGAAAGCTGAAGTAAATGTTGTATTGGAACTTCCTGGCTCATTTGAGTCCATCCTGTCGAAAAAATCATCACCAGTGAAGGCAACAAAACATAAACCCAAGTTTGATTCCAACTTTAAAATCCCTAGCAAGAAAAACTTAGCTGAAGGAGAAGAAAGTGAATTTGTTTCACCTCTTGAAAAAGGATACCAGGATGATTCTACCACCTCCTTTGAGTTTCAGACCAACAAATCTACAAGTTTGCTTCAATCTGGAAGATCAGTTATGGAAAAATCTGGTTTTGTCTTCGGTGACACGAAGATCATTCGTTCACCTTTTGCAAGAAAAAGTACAGCAAGTGCTGAAACCAGTATCCCTATTTTTACGTCAAAAGTCAGAAACAGTCCTCATCCTGAGGGTGACTTCCAAAAAGAGAAGTTACTTAAGAATTTGGAATCTGCTTTCTCCTCCAAACCGTCCAAAAGCTTCACGTTTGGTGCCTCCTTCTCATTTGATCAAAAATCTTCAGAAGCTTTCAGCACTTCCTTGGGATTCCTGAATTCAAATTCAAAACCATTGTCTGTGTCCTTATTGGCTGAAGAGAAATCTAAGTGTCCTGTATCGCCTTCAGGTTCCATAACCTCTACCTCAAGCAGGTCTACTATCTCATCTGTCAACAAAATAACAGTCAAGCGTAAACTTATTGAATCTTTAGGCACTAGTTTCCTTTCTTCGAAGAAGTTGAAACTTTCCGAAGCTAGCAGCAGTACCCCAAAATATCCTGCCGCTTCAGCCAAACCAGAACTCATTGAATCTTCAATCAAATCTGCTGAAAAGCCTCTCTGTATTGCCAAGTCTCCAAGGACTGAAATGAGTCTGTCCAAAAGCTCTCTAGGCACTGACTTCCACATCTCAAAAACCAAATCTTTTGGATCAAAGAATGTCAAACTTGAACCATCAGTCCAGATCATGAAAAAACTGGACACTCCAAAATCAAAATCTCCATCAAGACCTGGATCAAGATCAATTTTAAAGGCAGAAGAAGATGAAAGTGCCTTTATGACTATTGACCAAACCGGATTCGAATCGAAACTTGCATCGTCTTTAGAAGAAGGGGAACTAAGGGACTCAATGTTAGGATCTGATTCAGATGAAAGGGGAAACAACTCTGATGAAGAGGCAGAGATTAATTCTGAAAGTGAGAGTATTGATGATACAAGTCATGTTTCAAGTTCGAAAATTTCTGACATCAAGGGCAGTAACTCTCTAACTGCTAAGCCTGAAAAGAATCAAGAAGGTTCGTCAATTTCAAAAGAAAACGAAGATAATGATGAGATGATGATGATTCGAAGATTGTCAGGAGAGATGAAGAGTACAGTGAAGAAAGTTCGGAAGATGACGAAGACAAAGAGACCAAAAGTCGTGTGGAGACCAGTCAAGATGAGAGTGAATCAGAGAGTTCGGAAGAGGAGAAGACTGTCGTGGAACCGCTACTGGATCTTTTGGAAGAATATGAAGACGAGTTTATGGATGAATATGTGGCAGAGGTCAAAAGGTAAAGGTCATTATTTTTGGTTTAATAAATAATAGATTGAAAAATTGTTCATATCATGGTTTTGCTAGCTGGTGCCAAGTGTGAAATGTAAGGAATTTGTTACAGATGTTGCATGTTGGGGGCTGCTTGATTGGTGAGTTCTGAACATTTAGAATATACCAGAAGTTCAATAACTCAAGTTAAAACCTGTTCAGAAATCACCAATCAAGTACCACTTTATTTACATCCTATGTATCCAATTTGTTTTGAAATGCATAATGGAAATCCTGAGACCCAACCAAGTTTTGTGGATTTGTCACATAGTTTATTTGTGCGAACAAAATAATGTATATTGATTGGATTTATAAGTTCTAAAGTCCTTAAGATGGAAAAATTGACGTTTTAACAGAATGTTAAGTTAGCTTAAAAACTTTTTCCATTTTTCAGTAATGAGAAAGAGACTAAGAAAAAGAAGCCAGCCATCTTGGATGACGATTTAGATGAGTCTTTGTCTGAAATCAAGGTACCAGAAGACCAGGACAAGACATCAGATTTGGATTTAGATCCTGAAGTTGGCAATTCTCCTGAGTCGTCTGTGAAAGAACAACCTGGACCACCTCTCATTCAGGTAATTCTTGTGGAATAGGTTTTCATTCTTATTCACTTGTTTTGTATGAAATAAAAGGTTAAAAATGGTGAGCAATCTTGCCCTGTGATCATTAAGCAAAACTTAACGCAGTTTTTCTGGGAGGGAACATTTTGTCAATTAAACGATCGAATTTGTGGTATCTTATGAATTCTGAATTGCAATCTTAAAAGGTGACTCCTGCTGTGACAAAACAATCTTTAAATTTTTTATAAAAAAAAGAGGTTGTTGATCGTGGGATAAATGTTGCTACCATTATCTTGAAGCTGATATTGTTAAATTAACATTTCACAAGTTCTGTCTGGTGCAGAAAAGTAGGACGTAAAAACTCAGGACATTTTCTTGGAATTGGTAACATATGCAGAGTAAGCAAAGGCCTGCAAACTTTGGCTGCTAGATTAAGCAAAGTATTGACATACATGATGAAAATCAAGTCGCTCTCAGTTCACTTTGATCATGTAGAATCTTAGATTTTAAAAGTTCAGAAATAATGTTTGATATGAAAAGAAAGATTTTTATTTCAAATTGTAGCAATTAACAAAAATGAAAAATTCACAATGCTATTATTTTTGAATTTATAGCCTCCACAAATATTAATTATTTCATTTCACAACAGTTTTACCTGTTACACATAAAGAAAACAATAACCTCGTTATAATCTGATATAATTAACTAATATTGTAGAATCCATTGAAGATGATTCCAAAGTCCTACTGTTTTAATTATGTGAGAGATCCTAACAGTTGTAGAAATACTGATTGTCATTTTAAACACCAGAGACCAAGCAAGGTAAGTCTATAGTCTTACAGACAATTCTTAGCACCAAAATATAAGTGATTCTTCTAGCCAGTAGAAAATATAACCAATATATATTAACATATATTATGCAATGCCTTACCGTCTCCATGGGAGCTGTGGTTTCACAGTAAAGTGATTGTTCGCTAACCTGATTGTCTGGGGTTCAATTTCGGCATAGGTCGAGATGTTAACTTTAGATTTCAACTTTGTGTCCACCTGTCAGTAATGCAGCAAAAAACGTCAAGTCGTTTGGAGGGGAATAAACTGAGGCCACTGTGCTACAAGCTATGCATTTTCAAGATACCTTGACAGTGGGAAATCGGGAAAAAGTAGGCGAATGCTTTTGTCCTTAAAGCTTGGAGTTTCCCGTCTTCATAAGCCCAGTTAGTTGAAGAAAAGTATGATATGAAGCTCATTTCCTTTCCTGTCATTTATACCCTCCATGACGGCTAAATCCCTCTCTTGATTATTCCAGGAAGAATGTACTCAACACATTTCCAATGAGATTCATGTAGCCATTAAAGAAAACCGACCCAAAGATGCTGTAGATTATTTTATGGAGTTTGAAAGAGCTGGATATGGAATAATACACCATTATGTAAAACCTGTATTATTTTGCTGTTATCAGCTTGGCTTCACCTATACACCTATAGCCCATAATCTACTGGGTGTGCTGTTTAACTTGGAACTACTGGATGCAGAGTAAGTTGAATTTTCATATTCACTGGTTGGAAATATAAGTCTTTTTCCACAGCTATTAATGTTCATATACCTATAAGGTGCTCAGCTTAGTTTTACTCAAATTGACGCTCACATCAAGAAAAGTTAAAATTTGGAGATTAATGTGATAATGCCAGAAACATTGTGCTCTAAGGAATAGATTGATATATTTTTATCTTTGATACAATCAGTTATACACCTGTAATAGCTGCTTTAAATTTGAGTAAAATTTCAGCTGAGTATGATAACAATTTTAGTTAGATTAATTGGCTCATTTATGTAGACACAAGCGTTTAAATCCCCTTCATTTTATTGACTCAACAAAATATGATAAACATTTATTTTCATGTGAAGGTGTAGAAAATTAGATCGAAAAACAACATCTATTTCTGTGGCCAGGGAATTTTGTCCCTAAACATGAGATAAGCTGTATTCAATCAGGTAAAAAATACTTGAAAAATATTCAACTTTTATTATGTTTTAGTATTTGTGACGGGTTTATCCAGTGCTGTAGTGTAAAACGAAGAGAGTTTAGTAAACTATTATGGGAAATATTTGAGGTTATCCAGTCTTTGAATATTCAGCCCACTCCTGAATCGATTCTCACTTTGTTAATGTAAGTAGCTTACACTTAGATTTTATCTATCATCTATATCTCTTTTTTTATTATCAAAATCCTCAATTGTTTTGTCGTACATATGGTATTTTTCAATGTAAACGCAACAAATGGTCAGGGTGATATTTAGCGAAAAATAAAACTCGATTTTCATTATTTTATTTTCATAGTTCGGGCTTTGTCTTCCCTTTTAAGTTGCCTTGATCAGGTGGCCTTTCTCCAAAATCACATTTTTTCAGTCAAACACAGGTAATATAAGTAAAAGCGTATGACGTTAACGTTGTATGATGTCACTTAATAACCGCCGGCTGCTCCGGTATATATTTATTATATTGATGTGTGGCCGGTACACCGGTCGCTAGGGTTGAAAAGGTTAAATGGCATTTACCAATAGTAGTAGGTACAATATATAAACACAACTTTATGGAGCAATAATCATTGGTTGAAGTTTTACTCTGTACTAGAGAACACCTGTGATTATTGGTCTTAAAGCTGTTTCTTATGTAAACAAAATTAAGGAGTCTAATTTGGTCTTGTTCAATTCAGATTTAGTTTCCATAATCAGTGACAACCATTTTCTCATCAAAAGTTATTGTGATAGTTCTAGATTTAAAGTTTTTTTTACTAATTTAAATTTTTTAGGACGTTCTATGAGTGTAAATTTGTGAAAGAGTTATTTGAAGTCATGATTTACAGCAACGAACTAGATTTTACCATTCCTTTAATCATTCGGAACTTTGCCTTGACGGAAGCCTTGAATAACCCAGCCGAATATTTTACCTATGCTGTGAAATGGGTTCAACAAACAAACGAAGAATTTTTGCTTGAATTTGATCATAAGGTATATACATGGTCTTTCTATTAGTTATGACTTGTAGCTGTTATGTTATATACTTGGAAATATCCATGTATATTACCGTCAACCCAGTGCAGAGACTAGGGCTGCAACGATTCACCGATGAACCACGATTCTTTCCTTCTTGTCGATGCATTGCGTTGGATAAATATAATCGCGATGCATTGGCACAATCATTTAACTTCCTTTAATAACAAATGATACGGTATGTCAGATTGTGTGTCATGATTTTATATCTTATTATAATTTTCACCAAAACATTTGTAAAAAAAAACATTCCTGTTTTCGAAAATTAAGTATTTTATTTCACAATTCTTTACTTCTAGATGTTCTCATGTGCTAAATTGTTATGATTTTAAATATTTTTACTATTTTTCCTCTGTTCTTTTCTAATAAATGAATTGCGATTATTATCACAATAAATCGTATCGTCAGATGGGTATCGTTTAGTGTATCGAATCGGAACTTCAAGAATCCTTGCAGCCCTAGAAGAGACACATATTTTTGTTAGAATTTGAAGGAAATCAATATCCTATTATAAGATCCTATCTTTGATAGCCATCTTTGTTGTATCACAGAAGTTTGGCTGTATAATAAGAGTACTCGACTGTAAACAATTTGACTTCTTATATCTTATTTTAGATGCTAGAACAGCTAATCAACATGTTCTCACAAAGTAAACAAATGGAATTGGTGGAAACATTGAATGTCATACGAGTCAGAAAGCTCAGGGTAAGCTTTGACCATTAGACTTGCAAATTTACATAGTGAAACCCTTTCAATCCATTATCTCTATAACTCTATTCTGACATATTTAAAAAGTCCTGACTGAATCACTATATAATATATAGAAGGAAACCTTCAATAAACCGGCACCCCCTGTACACCACAATCCTACATTTAAATAAGGTCCTAAAGTTGCTAATTGTTATCCATAAAGACAAATATTCTATTTCGTGTCAATCAGTACATCCTATCAAACAGTTGACAATATGTAGTTAATTAACTATAATTTAAAAAAAAATAATTGCGTTTTGACGTTAGGAAAAAAGTGATTTTTTTTTTTTAAATTATAAAAGGTGCCCCCTATCTATATACTCTTATACTACTATTAACATCTCTAAATCAGCATCTCTAGATTATTTGTATATTTACAAATTTGTCCTGTCCTGTGCCTGTGCTTTTGTAATACTGTTTTCAATGCAATGTTAGAACAAGTATTCCCCACAAAATGGAGGTTTGCTGAGCAATATTTGTGTCTAAAATTTAGAGCATAAGATTTGGACCTGTCAATTTCTGCCAATATATCAGGGCTGTTGATTTATTTTTTTCCAATCAGACATTTTTGAACGATATTTTTGTAGGGTTAATACTGTAACATGCTTCTCATACTTAAATACCTCTTTATTACTCTTTATCCTTAATAGAGGAAATTTTAAATTAATATACTGTTACTCAACAATAGTAATTATCAAGTATTAATAACATTGTGGTCTGAACTTTCCTTAATAAGAGTTACTTCCCCTTTATTTGAGTACATTTCTTGTCTTCCTTCCTTCTTCTGATTTCTGTCTATTGAAGTTAAAAGATGAAGCTCCTCAAATTGAAGAACCAGAAATTGATCGTGAGGAGGCCAGGATCCAGGCAGCTACCAATTTTGATACTCCAGAACTTCAGAAAGAAGAAAAGACCTCCCATGCCCACAGAATTCAGGTTTGTTTCGATTGAACAGTTGATTTCTTCACGCTTCAACCATATTCAATCCAGAATGAGGCTCTTAATGCAAACATAAATATGGTGACAGTGTATCTCTGCAGTAAAATCACCACCGTGACGTCTTTATAGCCTTCTTTTCAAATCCCACTGACTCAAAATTAATCATATTTTACATCATTAAAATTGACATTAATGAAACTATTAAATGATACTATCAGATGAAGTTTGCCTTCACATATTTAGATTGACTATTCCTCCGTATGGCGTCGCCATCTTTGCATTTTATGCCTGACAATCGATGGTTCATTTAGGAGAAGGTACTATGTCCAGGGTTGCCTGCTTAGCCCAAAAATACCAAATATTTCAAAACCTTCACTTATATTTTGCTATCTACATGTATTACAGGGATGTAAGTTATCATATAATTGGGAATATTTAGCCCAGATATTTCTGGACCTGTGTGGCACATCGTGGCCGAGAAATACAGACTATATAGATCTCTATATTGATACTCTCACTTCACCAAAAACAGAGACTAAAATATTAGAGGCTTTTAAAAAATTCCTGGAGAAGCTTCAAGAAATTGTTAAAGTTGGTAAGTTGATGACATAGAAGTTTTACCCCTTATTTTTGAAGATAATGAGGCTTTTTTCCACCTTTCAAAAGAATTACAGCGAAAACATAAAGATATGACAATTGTTTTGAATAGTGATAACTGAAGATATTTTTGGAGCAGAATTTGTCTTTTTCTGTTAAAGTTTAAAAGTATAATCAAAGGCTTGAGTAAAAATTATTCATGGTTTGAGAATGCATTGTTGAATGGTAGAAAAGCCTTTAGTTGTTCCAATAGGTTAATAATCCAAGACCCCTTGTGATTGGGGTTGGTCTCTAAATAGTTGATGCAACTTTCTTCATTCCATTCAAATCATATTGTGTTACTGGAGATTATCATGTTAAATTTGTTGTTGTAATCACTCAGAGATTTGATATATGATTAGACCAGTGGTTCCCAACCTTTTTCAACCTTCACACCCATGGAGCAATCACCTTGACCTTTCACACCCCCAAAAATTTATTTCATCCACATTCCCAGCATGTTAAGATGTGAGGTGCTCTCTAAATTCAAAAAAAAAATTTTTCCTACGCCAGTATTGGCCACACCCCTGACACTCTAGTCCCACATCCCCAGGGGTGAAAACACCCCAGATTGGGAACCGGGGGATTAGACTGTACATTTCATTTCCATTGTAAGAGAGAGAGACAGGAGCTTTATAAGCTATAGCCTGTTTTCAAATCCTTTTCATATATTTGTGAATAAAGAAAATTACGAAAAAAAACTCTTATTTCTATTGCAGAAAGAAATCATAACGTGTTGTTGGAGTTTGATACAAGATCGTTGAGTCAGATTTGTTGTGGTATAATACAGTTCTGTTGTAATAAACATTATTATATTACTGGGTTTAACATTCTAGAACAACTAATACAGTATGATATAAAAATCTGTAGCCGTTCTCCACACACCATCCACGAACCATTGTTAAATATTTTAGAGATCTGTAACCAAGTTTCTATACCACTAGCTGCTGTTAGAGTCTTAGAAGGTGAGTTCTGTAAACACTCTCACAGGCACAATTCTGGGACGAAATATATTATCCTTGATCTAGAGGCTTGGAAGTATCAGGACATGAACAATCTAGAAGGCAAATTAGAATTATTTATTATCAACCAAGAATGAAACCTATTGAAAAGGATCTAAAAAAACTACTTACCATTCAGTATGATGAGTTATTTCCCTTTTACAATATTTAAAAGTGATTAATGACTCAAAGTTAACTTAGCTATGCTAGTGATTGTCACTGCCAAAAGTCTGAAATTAAACAATGTTGCCAGTGTGTGTTTTTAGACAGTTTGCAAATACTATACCAATGTCATCTTATTGTTTCAGATTTAAAATGGCTGAAATATAACCAAGAAACAGTAAAAGATGTGGATAAATATGGTCATATTTTAGATGATCTGATCGTCAAGTCCGTTAGCAAGAAACTCAATTATCAAGCCTTCCAACTCTTGTCTTTTCTGATACATATTCTAGAATCAGGTAAATTGAAGCACTGTTTTATGCCAGTCATGTAAGGATGATATAATACATATCATAATATGAGCCCTATATCATACATATCATAATATGAGCCCTATGACATACATATCGCTATATGAGCTGAAGACAAAAGCAACACTTTGTGTTCAAAGTACTATTGGCATATCTATTATTCCAACTGAAACTTGTCATTCATTTGGATTCCGCCTCATTATGTGAAGACATATTTGTCCAGTATAGGGGTTTTCAACTTGGGTGATTTTGAAATTTCTCGATTACAATGAGGCACTTTGTCGTCCAGCTTAAAATTTTTGACAATCATAATTTAAGTTGTTCCATTCAGTCAGGCTATTTTCTCTGACATGAAATAGAAAACCAGGGAAACCTAAGAGAAAATCACAAAACAGTAATAATGTATAGAGGAGATAGGTAATGCAATGGATCCTGTGATAGTCAAGTGGGCCTAGTATGATAGTACAAATGATATACTCAGCAATGCAATAGGATAAGCATATTATGGCATGTCAATGGCTATGTTGAACATATTGAGAATGAAAAATTGTATATTTTCAGGTGGAAGAGATGTTGAGGAACTTTCTAGTAAGTTATTTTAATATTTTCTATGAACAGTTTCTATTAGACATTTATTAAAGGGTTTTTTCATGTGTATCAGGGACACTGATAGCATCCATTTGAACCATTCCAGTTTCAATCAGATGTCTTTGGTTCCTGTAATTCCAATAAAACTAAATGTTTGGTGATGTGACTAATCAGGAAGGGCCTTGTGTGGTAAAGCATATTTTGCGATTAGTGACAGCATCAAATATTAGATCACATTCAAGGGTTAAAACAGGGACTTTAGTTGAGATGAATTTTGGCATATTGTTTGCTGTTTTGAAAAGGGCTATTTATTTTATTTTCTTTTGATCCATTCGGATAATAAACCAAGATCCTGTGTGCTACGGATGGGCATGTTAGCGATCCCTCGACAGTTGGAAATAAAAAAGGAGCAAACTAATGCCGCTGTCTTGGCAAAATTTCCCTCATGGTGTTGCCCGTCTTCATTAGCCCACATGGCTCAGAAAAGTAGGACATAAAACTCCATTTCATTTCCGAGATTTTAATTTTACTCTTGTTTTCTTCTTTCAGGTCTTAAAGCTCATTTTAATGAGATTGTGATGTCCAGTCTTTCAAAAGGTGTTGTTGAACCTGCGCTTAAAACATTCCAATTAGATCGTGAGAAACATCGGAAAAAACATTTGTTAACACCCATCACTTTACGATCATTATTCGCTGCTCTTTATCAAATAGGTGATATAGAGAACACTCAACGGGTTTTCAACTACGCCATGGCCCGCGAGGACATTTATATCACACAAGAAAACAGACGACAGATTGTGATTGGTTCAAATTTAACTTTTGGAGAAATTGATTTTCAAATTCGGCATTATCTTTTACAAATGTACAGACTGTTTTGTAACAAGACTATGTCTGGAGAAGTGCTATCTTTTGACGAATTAAAAATATCCATTATTTTAAAACGTGAGGATTGTGCCAATGTACCATTCTTGTCCACGGCCGCACCTCAATGTCAGTATGCAGCATTAGAGTTGATTAAGCTTTCATTGGCTAATTTGAATCCACCAATCAGCTACCACCAGAGATTTACTGCACCAATGAATGGTGGAATTTTCTTTCTCAATCCAACTGATGTTCAGAAATACATGCATACGTTAGATTCTCAAGGTAAAAAAGAAGACTTTCCCCACTTTCAGTTGTCTGCGTAAAAATTGTTTGTCATCCCTTTAGTTAACTTATTAAAGGGAATGTAAAGAGGTTTGATTGATTTTGAATGTATCAGGGACACTGAAAGCATTAATTTTCAATCATTCAAATTTTCAATCAGACGTCTGTGTTCCTGAAATAAGTAAAAAACTAAGTAATGAAGTCATTAATTGCGACGAGCCTTATGTGGAAAAGCATATTTTGCAGCTAGTGACGTCATCAAACAGTTTAAGTGGAATTGCAGGAACACAGACGTCTGTGCAGAAATGGAATTGTGCTAATCAATGCTATCCGTGTCCCTGATACACCTATGACAAAAATAGAAAACCTTTTTACAATCCCTTTAAGTAGATAACAATAAGGCCTCAATGTTTCGAGATGTTTGACATCTTTAAGCAACTGATTTTCCAATAACTTTTAGCAGCAAGTGGAATCTGATAGAATCTCTTCAATCATTGGATTTAGACTTTGGTGACGCTCGATCGGCAAGTTTTGAATAGGTTCCGTCTAGTCTAATTCTGGACTTAATCGAACAGACAGAACCAGGTTATGTCCCGTTTAAAATTTTCTCTGCCATTTTGAATTCTGTCTGCATCTACTATTATTTTTTGGAACTCTGTTCCAAATTGTTAACTTGAATGTTCTGTTGATTCCATGATTCCTGAACACGCAGAACTCACTAATCGAGCAGCCCCTTTAATTTGACAAAAATACTGAATGAATTAATTTTCTGCTTGCTATTTCAGAAATCAAACAAGGGCTGAGATTTACTCCCAGTTCATCTCAATGTGTAGGAAGAACGTCAGGTCCTTTATTACCAAGACATGGTTATCCAGATCGAAACCGATTTCACTTTTCGGGACATGCCCATAATGTACGCCAGCCACGATTTCAACCGAGATCTAAATCTTTGCGCTGGAATTGAAAAATTAGAAAAATTTGAGTGAATTTGTCATTAGTTCTGAGTGTTTTTGACATGAATTTTGTGTAAAATCCTCCTGAAAGACAAAAAAAATGATAGAATTGACGGAGAAACATTTGTTTTAGTAAGTTTATTAATGGTGACATATTGTCAGAAGCTCTGGATGATGACGTCACTAGAGGTTAACCCTTTCAACCCTAGCGGCCGGTTTACCAGCCACACACTAACACAATATATACCCGAGCAGCCGGTCGTTGCTAAGTGACATCATACAACGTTAACGTCATACGCTTTTACTTTTATTACTTGGAGTTCAGGGTATATAACTTTATATTTCATTTACACTCAGTCTTCAAGGGATTAAGAAGTGATGAAGAAGAACTATGGACATATTTTACATAATTTTGTGACATTATGTGTTCTAAAATCAGCATTTAAAAGGTGAAAAGCATTTTGTTCTGTTATTTTTTTTAACTTTTAATGTTATGCCATAATGTATGGTTAGTGTACGAAATGAAAGGGAAAAAGATTTATGTGAGAAAGTGAAATTAGAGTAATAAGGGACTGAGGCAAGTGCCAAAGACTATGATTTGTGTTTTATATGTTATGGTTTGTTTTAAGAAACATGGAGTGTTTCAGAAATAATTGAGATACAGATATAAAAAACCCTATTTAAAAATGTGGTAAAAGATATGAAAATTTATGAAAACCTCGAGATATATGATTAAAGATAAAGTTGAGGTACTTTCATAATGGGTAGTCCTTTTAAATTTATAGTAGTTAATTTTACATAAGGAATATTCCATTCCCAGATATCTGGGTTTCCATATTATCCGCAACAGGTTACCAGTACCGAGCAGGGATATTTATGTATTGTTCAAATCATGGATTTAAACTGTTTATTTAGAAGTAATTAGCTCTATTTATACCAGACTTTCAGTACAGACTGTTCATGTTCAAGACCTCTCGACATTTTGAAATTGAAGAAGATTGGGCTAATGTCGCTGTCCTGGCTAAATTTCCCTCATTACACACTGCATGACAATGCCTGTCTTCAATAGCCATAAGGTGCAGAAGAGTAGAATGTAAAACTCCGTTCATTTCTTTTTCATTTTTTGGTGCGTTCACAATAAACAAAAATAAATGACTAATAAAATATGGACATGGATGTGGTTTATTTTATGTTTAGGAAATTTTGTTCAATGTACTCTACCGTGTTTTAAGAAAAATTTAAGGGTTTGAATCTTTGCAATACTTCTAGATTTCTGCAAACTATTTTAGAAAAGTTCAAATAGTATACTCAAGTCTTAGAATTAATTTGTAGTTTAAATTCCCTGTTGAAATTTTTTATAATTTTCGCATTAAAATTTGACTTTCGTTGACATATATTATTTAGATGTTAGAATTGATTAAAGGGTTATGGTGGTAGAAAGATTTCATTGTTATTTTTTAAATCTGTTATAACCTAGTTAGTTTTAAAATGTTGAAGGGAATTCTAGTTTAATTTCAAAGTGTAACACTGGGTATATTATGTGTAATATTATATCTATACCTTTTTCATAATTTATATATGTTTTCTTCCTATCAGGCCTAACTTAGGCCACCTAAGCTCGGAGAGACACCTCTCATTTTTTGCTTCCCCTTCAGGCAGTTTCTAAATAATCCCCTGAAAGTACTTTATAGAAATCATAATAATGTACCACCATATTACAGTCCCAAATCGAAAGCTGCAGTATGTCAGATTAATGTTAAGACACAAAAACTGCATTTAGTATCCTTATATCCTTTTATCCATCATTGTGTCTATTAATTAATCTTATTTACCCCATTTAATGCATAGAAAATGCATCTAATTATAATTTTCTGTATCATTTATTTTGTTTCAAATTCACGAACAGCTGTGAAATAAAACAACTTAAACTCAGTGTTGTGTTTTTGAATTTTCATAATGGATCATATAAAACCAGAATTGGTAGGAAAACTGACACCGTTGAATCCCAAGAGCCACAAAATGTAGGTTTAGGAGATTGAACTGGCCTGATATCTGTATTAATTAAGAAGATATTTAACAAAACTTGTCCACATTGGCGGCCATTTTGAAATTCAAGATGGCTACCATACAGGGTGCAATTTCGGATGGCCCCTGGACTAAATATCTTTGCATTGTGTTTGTCTAACCATGTTTCATGGTTAAGGGAAAGCGCACAATTGATCACCTAATCCGCCCCGATAATAGATTAGAAATTAGGTTAGGAAATATAGGCGATTTTCCGCTCTTTAGACTACTTGGACCGAAAATGCCAAATACTTAACTTTGCTTAACAGGCCAATTTTGGTCAAGTGCTCATATCCAAATAAATTTTTATTGTAAAGGGAATTTCTAAAAAAAAAAAAATTATACGTATTGGGGACACTGATATCATCAATTTAATCCGTTCCAATTTTATATCGGACGTGAAATATCACACAAGCACTATATTATATTATTGGAGCAACACAAAACACAAATTTGGCGGGGAAATTTTTCACCAAGTAACGGGTATTCCTATGGTTACTAATTGTGCTCCATTGGCATTAACATACCTCATTCACCAGTTAATTACATCTTGCCTTATACAGTTTGTTATCGAATTGTCAATTCTGTTTTTTTTGTTCGAAATTTACACACCTTCCTGTGCTTAGACTGCAGTAGTTGCAGCAACCGTTCAACTTCTCTAGACCTTCTGTAGTGGCAACGTGTTCCTTAAATAAATATTGGAACATTTTTGCAAAACCAGAAGTGCCACAGTTCAACATGTGCACGAAGAAAATCGGCTCTAGAAGGCTCATTTTTGCATCGATTTTCTTCGGGTTTTCATTTTTACAATCTACCTGTAATTTCTGACCTGATAGCACTTGAAAAATTACGAAATTCGAAAATTCGTCGGTCACTTTTTTCGATCAAATTTTTCAATTTCTGTGCAACGTTTTTGTTTTTGCATTGATTGATCTGAAACTTTAAATGCAAAGAGACTTCACTAATGTTAATAATATGATACAGTCAAAATTTGTACGTCATTTCCGCTTTTAGACAGGAAAGCGACTGAATTTCAAATCTACTTCCGGTTGAATAACTTCCGATGTAAGGCCAACGAAATTTATGCTGATCGGTGGACAAGGTAATGACAAAAAAAAAAAACGAAGAAAAAAAGATCCGGACCGGAAGTAATATTTTTTATAGTAGTAAAACACGACAGAGTACACTGAACAAAATTTCCTACACTAATTACTTCTAAATAAACAGTTTAAATCCATGATTTGAACAATACATAAATATCCCTGCTCGGTACTGGTAACCTGTTGCGGATAATATGGAAACTCGGATATCTGGGAACGGAATATTCCTTATGTAAAATTAACTACTGTAATATTAAAAGGACTGCCCATTATGAAAGTACCTCAACTTTATCTTTAATCATATATCTCGAGGTTTTCATAAATTTTCATATCTTTTACCACATTTTTAAATAGGGTTTTTTATATCTGTATCTCAATTATTTCTGAAACACTTCATGTTTCTTAAAACAAACCATAACATATAAAACACAAATCATAGTCTTTGGCACTTGCCTCAAGTAATAAAAGTAAAAGCGTATGACTTTAACGTTGTATGATGTCACTTAGCAACGACCGGCTGCTCGGGTATATATTGTGTTAATGTGTGGCTGGAAACCGGCCGCTAGGGTTGAAAGGGTTAACCTCTAGTGACGTCATCATCCAGAGCTGTCGAAAATATGCCACCATTAATAAACATACTAAAACAAATGTTTCAGTCAATTCTATATTTTTTTTTATCTTTCAGGAGGATTTTACACCAAATTCATGTCAAAAACACTCATAACTAATGACAAATTAACTAGGGGAGAGTCTCTGTTTTACTCCTTTTCCACTTCAAACACCTTCAATTTCATATATACCTCCAATTTCATATACCTCCAATTAGGTATTGTGCTTTCAACCCCCCTTTATGGTTAATCCTACAGAGCGAAAAGTATTCGAAAGTCTCGTAGAATTAACTAGGGATTAGCAATATTGCATAAGTATCCCTCTTAATCTAGAAAATACATAAATATGATTCTCTTGAACAAAATATAAAATAAAATAAAAGCAAAAAAGAAAATCAAAAAAGAACTAGGGCTGTGAACAGCACTGAGCGTGGCCCGTGATACTTTGCCTGATAGCTGTAAGACGTTTTTTAACTTCAAACCCTCTCAAGCCCGGTGTTGATTCGACCACTTTTAGTAAAGAGCCAAGCTAAATGAAATGTTTTGTGAAAGGGTAAATTCAATCTTGTATCAATATAACTTATCGTATGGTTATTTTAATAGCTTCATGGTAGCTATAATATACAGGTATGTGTGAAATGTGAACATTATGTGACGGAATTTCTTTACTGATATAAACATGATCTATAAGTGTCCCACCTTCAGTAGTGTAATGCTGAACAAGTTGTTAAAAACCAAATTTTTGAAAACGATTTAGTATAGACAAATGACCCTCCAAGATATTTTGGTTGAAATCCCTCATAATAACATAGTCTGAACCAGATTCTTGTAATTCAACTAATAATCTTTCTAACATTGGGAGAAATAAATCTAATCGATAAACGGGTGGTCTATAGATAACAATTACGTTAATATTTTTATCCAAAATATTCAAAGCAATGTGTTCTATATTTAAAACTCCCAATTTTAAAATGTTGACATTTTTGTTTTGCTTATAATATACTCCTACTCCTCCGTGCCCCTTTTCTTTCAAAAATTTGAAATCTCTAGTGTCATCATTGCAGCTGCTTCGAGGATGGTGGTGAAGACGGAAACCATTTAACTTTAGTTTTGCTGGAGTTATTGAATTATTTAGCCATGTTTCTGTTAAACAAATGATATCACCTTCTAGCATTTTCCTGTGTTTCTGTAAATCCTCTATATGAATAGATAAACCCTGAACATTGTGTAAAATTATATTAGTATCAGTTGATATGGTCTCGTTTTCGGGTTTTAAAAAAGTATCCATTGCTCCTAATGTCGATTCAATTTTTTCATCACAAATATGTTTTTTTCCGTTAAATCTTGTATTGTAAGACCCTGTAATGTTTTAACTCTGCTTAACGCAACATAGGCTTGACCAGCTTGGAATATTTTATGAAGTGATATTACACCTCTATCGAGACTTAGACCTTGTACTTTGTGAATAGTAACTGCATAGCGTAATTGGAACTGGCGACTAACATCGCCCTTATAGTTAACATGAGGGCTTTCATATCTCTCAATACCAATACTACCACGTGGTACATTTGGCGGAAGTGGAACACTGTCTTCATTTATTCCAACTTTAGCATTATCAAATTTTACAAAAATTTTGTCAGTTTGATTATTCTGATCAGTTTGAATGAATGTTACTTGACCAAAACTTCCTTTTATCAAGCCAGTAGAAACATTTAAATTAATTACTAACATAACTTTTGACCCTACACCTATTTTTAAGCAAGACACTAATGGTGTATCAGTCACTTTAACATTCTGTGATCAGAATGACACCAGCGCATACCAATCTATCGTGTCCAACAAGTCAGTAAGTAAGTTTGTACAATGAAAGTTTTTTAGAGCAGATCAATCTATCATGTACAACTACCCAGTAGATTGGTTGGTACAATGATAGTTTTCTAGAGCAGATCAATCTATCGTGTACAACACGCCAGTAGATTGGTTTGTACAATGATAGTTTTCTATTACAGATCAATCTATCGTGTACAACTACCCAGTAGATTGGTTTGTACAATGATAGTTTTCTAGAGCAGATCAATCTATCGTGTACAACACGCCAGTAGATTGGTTGGTACAATGACAGTTTTCTATTACAGAGCAATCTATCGTGTACAACACGCCAGTAGATTGGTTTGTACAATGATAGTTTTCTAGATCAGATCAATCTATCGTGTACAACACGCCAGTAGATTGGTTGGTACAATGACAGTTTTCTAGAGCATACCAATCTATCGTGTACAACTAGCCAGTAGATTGGTTGGTACAATGACAGTTTTCTGTAGGTTGATGCCAGACAAACAAAGTTGAAGTTGGTGTATATGAGGGTCTGTTTATGGAGTAATCGTAAAAGTTGTAGATTGAACATTGAACACATATCTTTTGTGGTTTTTGGTTGCGTTTCTTTTTTACATTTCACAAAATAAGTTTTTTTTACATTTAAGGAAACACTTTAAAACAGTTACTTTCAGTTTCGATAACCATTAAAACTCAGTGTATGATAAACGCTTGTTTGATAACTCAAAGGTTAGAGGTTCGGATCATGTTACCTCCCTTGACTATTGACATTAAAGAAATATAATTCATCAGGCACGTTTCAGAACCTGGTAGAATCATTTTTACTATTTAGTGTGTAATAATGTGGAAGTGGACATTGGTTACAATCTTTATCACAGCAATTCAATGTAAGTTTATATTTTGTTTAAACATTATAATAGTAGATGTTATTTGTTTGTTTCATTTAACTTGAAATATCATCTAACTAGGAAGTATACAAATTTAAATTCTCGCCATAATAAATAGCGAATCTAACAGTTTTATACTGTTTACTGAGTATTACAATTCAAACCGATTTAATTAAGTTGATAGGTGTAATATTTTCCATCATAATCCTCACTCAATGTAAGTTTATATATCTTGTTTAAAGTCTACACAGGTAACCTCCCCTTAAACATCTTAGGCCATGCACCTAGACAAACATTTTTATATGACTTATTTACCTTATAGCCAATCATATCCAACGTTAGTGTCTTAAAGCATATAGAGCAAGTGATATAGTTTATAATAAATTGAATATAGTTCGCACCAGGTAATATCAATTATAAAATTAGCCCCTATTATCCAATTCTTTTTGTCTAAGTATAGCGTCGACGAAATATGACCTGGACTGGTTGCTTAAAATCTTGGTAATTGACCGAAGCTACAGTAGCTATTGAATCTGATTGGTTTTAAATCCACATTCGTTTTGGTGATGTGACACATTAATCAAAATAAAACGGTAATACCAATTTCTTCGAATTTTAATTCTTTCCTCGAAAACGAGATAAATATAACATCTGCGGATCAAAAATATTATATATAAACGGACAAAAGTTGTCGTAACAGAAAATTCAATAAAAACTCCCAGACCATATTCTCGACATAGACAGGTTTAGTCTGGGCGTCAGAGGCCATCATAAAACTAAAACAATGACTTAGTTGTATAGTTTGTATATTAAATACAGGTGCTAGGTTTGGACCTGATAACAGTTATACCTGTCACTGTTTAAATGATGAAACATGTCATAAAGATTCTGGTTTCTGTGGTGGAGGTTGTGCTACAGGATGGTCTGATACTTCGTGCCAGAGACGTAATCCTTTTAAATTAGCGCTTAATTTCTTCTTCCCCTTTTCGCAAGGTTAATCTTCAGATTTTCCGAACCCGCTTTATGAACCCGGAAACAGAACTTTTGTGTGACAAAAACGATTTGATTCACAAATATTGAAACACAAAACCATAAATATATCCATGGAAATTGTTTTGAAAAAGTGGTAATGTTGTAAAGTTATTTTTTCACCAACAAAGAACGAATATATTGCTTCCTGACCTTGGACATAGTTAAATCGAGTGAGTTCTGCATTTGTCAATGTAATGAAGCATAATTCAACTTACTGCAATTATAATCATTATAATCACTTTTTATCGATGAATTACCCCATAGCCGAACAGATAGTTATTTTGGTTTCCAATAATTAGGATGCAATTAAAACTAAACATCTTCTAAAAGATAGAGGTTTGATCAACTATCAACACATTAGTTGAGTCATAAACTTTTCCAAAAGTTGTACAGTTTTTATAATTTTATGATGCCTACAAAGAACATGATATGCTTCATATATTTAGATTTAGAACCATTGGTTATTCTGCATGTATCATTATATCTATATCAAATCATATCCATATTATCTACATTATATCTATATCAAATCATATCTATTATATCTACATTATATCTACATTATATCTATATTATATCTATATTATATCTATATTATAACTATTATATCTATATTATAACTATTATATCTATATTATAACTATTATATCTATATTATAACTATTATATCTATATTATAACTATTATATCTATATTATATCTTTATATCTACATTATATCTATATTATATATATGATATATCTATATTCATTTTATCTTTTCAAATCAAATTAATTTTCATATTTGTATGCTGCCTACAAAGAGCGATAAATCTTATCTTATCTCATCTTAAGAGAGTCCTTATTCACTTTATTTGGCCCATTAGGGAAGATATATTTCTTTTTGTATCATGTTCCGTTTGTTCAATTATTGAAATATAATACACTTGTGTTCTTTTATTATCCTCTAATGATGATAATAATATTTTGCAGAGAATGTAGCTCTTGGTAAACCATCAGACAAGGTTGGAACTAACAGAGCTAGAATAGAAACTAGTGACAGAACTGCTAATGAACCTGACAAATGTTCTAGTTCTAGTAATGCTATTACTGGTAAATGGTGGGGAATAGATCTACTAGAAGAATATCCTATAAAACACATTATCATCCAACGTAAGAATGACGTTTGTCTCTATCATTTTCCAAAATTCACTAATAATACTAGTTTCACACATACTACTAATATCAAAAACAGGAAACTGAATAAATCCTGAAAGTATAGCTCTTGGCCAATTTCTTGTATCAAATGTAGAAATTTGAAGAGGAACTGATCAACTGCTTTTTCATTATAATAATTATATCTATTTTATCTTTCAGCTAATTGGGGTAGGTTAAGAATTATTTCACAATGACAATTTACTTTGGCAATCAGATAAAAAAATCTTTAAGCTTCGATGCTTCTAAGTCTACATTAGGAAAAATTAGGCAATCCTCGGCAGTTTTCGTAAAGCTGAATATTTCTCGGTAATGAATGGTGTCTTCTTGAGCGAGACTCTTTACTTCCGGCATTTTACTTTTTTTTTTTACCTAAGATAGTAATATTGCAACCTGAATATAGTCCCTAGATTTAGGGTCATTCGAGGATAATTCTGTCATTTATTTACTTATTTAATGGTGGTTTGTGGCTGTCGGTTTTGGACTCGTATTACGAAGCTTGTAGTCATGAACAACCCCTGATGTTTGGACTATCTATAATCAACCAATACTAAAAATGTTTCAATTTTTATACGCCCACGTTAAATGAGGGTCGTATATTGGCGTGTCCATCTGATCCGTCGGTCCGTCGGTTGTCGGTCGGTCCGTCCGTCCGTCCGTCCGTCCACAATTGCTCGTTAACACTCTAAAATTCTTGACGGACTTTGACGAAACTTGGTGTGTGTGTTTGTCGGTTGTCGGTCCGTCGGTTATCGGTCCGTCCGTCCGTCCACAATTGCTCGTTAACACTCTAAAATTCTTGACGGACTTTGACGAAACTTTGTGTGTGTGTTTGTCGGTTGTCGGTCTGTCGGTTATCGGTCCGTCCGTCCGTCCACAATTGCTCGTTAACACTCTAAAATTCTTGACGGACTTTGACGAAACTTGGTGTGTGTGTTTGTCGGCTGTCGGTCCGTCGGTTATCGGTCCGTCCGTCCGTCCACAATTGCTCATTAACACTCTAAAATTCTTGACGGACTTTGACGAAACTTGGTGTGAGTGTTTGTAATCACCCATGGCTGAACTTTATCGAAAATCAAATAAGTCAAAAACTAATTTATATGTGTTATTGTCCTTGTTCTTGGAAAAACGTTTAATTTGTAGCTTGTAAACACTCCAGAAGGCACAATTCTCGACGAAACCCGTGGATGAACCCTTTTAAAATCGAATGCTATTTTGTTTTGCTAGTTATTGACCTCGTTCTTGAAAACGCTTTTAATGTTTTGTTCGTAAAGGCTCTATTCTTGCCAGATTTTGACATAACTTGGTAATATTATTCAGTATCACCCCTAAAAATTCCAAAGAAGTGTAAGACTGAAGGTTGAATATTTCATAGTGGTAATTGTTACAGTACTGCCAAATATGTTTATTCAAAATCAAAGCTGCCATATTACCTTGCTTGTCAAATCTCTTTCAATCTCTTGGAATGTACAAAAACATAAAGAAGACAATCTAGGTAAATGTGTTCATAACAGGCTATACAAACTAGAAAATATTCTCACCTTTGTAAAATTGTTCTGTTTTATAATCACCTTGAAATAAATCATGCCGTAAGATATATGTTATATGATTTGAGTTGCATATGTCATTTCAAATCATGTTTTCAGATTTAGCATCAGTGAATGGAATATTAATACATGTTATTAAAGAGAAAGGAGAACCAGAACTATGTTATAAAGAAGGTCTGAGTTCGACGCCACCAATTGTTAAAAATATAGAGTGTAGTCATGTTATATATGGTCGTTATGTTAATATCAGTAATGATCGTATCAGTCATAATGGAAGATATTTAACATTATGTGAAGTAGAGATATATGGTAAGACTTTATTCATTGGAAGTTATTGGCCATAGTTCGCCATTTTCAGAGGTTGATTTAGGCCTTGAGTATGTGTACAAAGTAAGAGAACTGCATGAAAATGACACAATTCCTTTAGTCTCAATAACGGGAAAATTAGCTAAGCTTATCAGTCAGTGTTCACAGCTCACCCTTGAAATTTGGGCCTTCAAATCCCGAGTGTGAAAGTTAAAAATACGACTCGTATTTTCTTGAGGCTTTCCTATATATAGAAAAGACATATATAGAAATATAAAGTTTAAATTCTACGTTGGGGTATTTTTGAAGGAATTATGTGATTTTTCTTTTATATTTCTTGTACTTCTGAAGACTATTTACAAATATTCAAGACTCAAATCAACACCCGAAAATGATAAACTTGTCCCATTTAACATTCGCAACAACTCATAACATTTTTCCACCTTCATGGACTATTTATGTGTAATAACACCCGTCACTTCTTAATATCGTTTCATTTCAGTATGTTCTGTAGGAACGTTTGGTTCAGATTGTACCAACTTCTGTCATTGTTTAAATAATGAAAGATGTTCAGAGACTGGTGAATGTCCTAATGGTTGTTCTGATGGATGGACAGGAACAACTTGTAGTCAAAGTAAAGTTATGTTTTGTTATTTCCTACATACCGTGCTTATCAAATATTCAAACATATAACTTGATATTACGCAACACAGTAAAACTTGACATAATTTATATTCAAATGATTCTGAAACAATTAATGAATCAGGTGCGATCTAGAAACTGTTTCATTGTTTGTTGGCTACTACCAGCTTATAAAGATGCTATTCTGCCCGATTACGGATACCTCACACAGATAGTTAACGGACTTTATTGGCACTTGATAACAATAACATTTTGAAGGGACATTCCGCTTTTGTTGTAAGTCGAATTTTTTGTTTGCTCAAATTTATGATATGTGTACACTAAAATCTAGAAAAACGTGCTCCTTAACATATCTGAAAGTTTCAACTAAAAAATCCAGTTTTTAATATTTCAGCACATTTTTTTTAAACATAGCGTAAGCTTTTTGGTAGGTGTAAGAGAACTTATAAATTTAAACAAAATAAAGGCCAAATTGTAGAGAAATACGTGTCCTTTTTCTAAAGGTTTCATCTAATATTATGCTGCCGTTATAAAGCCAAAACCCAAAACTAGGCCTTTAAACTAAAAGCAATTGGCTGACAACTAACATAACATTTGACCTATATACAAATGTGACCACGTTTCAACACAGAGTTTTTTAGCTTTTATGTAGAAATAATATATACGGGCCTTTGCTATATCAGCTTAGATTTAGTAGAATTGGAAGACCAACAGACATCTTTCTGAAAATTGTAATGATGCAAATCCATGCTATAAGTATTCCCAATAGATCTGAACAGTATATCCATAAATTATTTTGCTTAACATTTCTAGTGTGTGATAATGGTACATACGGTGCTGGATGTTTAAAACTATGTTCAGATAGAAATTGTTTAGTAGAAACATCACCATGTCATCATATCTATGGTAGCTGTCAAGGTGGTTGTACGGAAGGTTTTTATGGTGAAGTTTGTGATATGAAATGTTCAGATAGAAAATGTAAAGATAGCAATTTACAATGTGAGAGTAAAACAGGAGAATGTATTGATGGATGTCAACCAGGATACCAGTCAATAGATTGTACACGAGGTAAAATATTGAATGGACACTGAGGGCTAACGGTCGTGATTGGATATTGTTGTCATTCTGTAATATGCTTTCCAAGAAAGCAATTTATAAGATATAAAAACTTGGAATAGCCTCGATGAACGCCTGTCTGTAATAGCGTGCACTTGACGGTATCACCATCGTGTGGTTTTAAACTTCACCTCATTCACCTCCACCGACATTAACTTTTTTGATATTTTCTATCTCTAGAATGTTATAATGGAAAATATGGACAAGACTGTTTGTTAAATTGTTCATCAAGATTCTGTAAACTAGAAACAGAGTGTAATATTATAGATGGAGCTTGTAACTGTTCAGATGGATATCAAGGAATAGATTGTACTGTTAAACAACTGCTTGTATTCCCGGGAGACGCCAATGAAGGTTAGACGTTTTAAAGTATAACTGTCTGCAGCCGTAATATGACCCAATGGGTTTAGTAATATACCATGGTCATTTTTAGGGCATCCAAAATAGCTTCTTTCTTTCAACCATTATTTACAAAAAGCGTCATGATAAGACTACTTCTACTTTTTACTAGTCTATTGTTTATTGAGATTAACGGTAACTACCAAGTTATGTTTAGATTTATACTTACATATATATAAGCTTTAACTATACTTTAATTTTGTTGCGAATTCAGTTCAGTTTAAAATAACCATTCAGGTTTACTCATAAAATTTCAAAGTTCAAAATTACACATATATATTATAAAACATCAACATCAACAAATATTTCTGTAATCGATAGCGCGAGTGTTGCTAAGCGACAGTGATGATGTTAGGTTATGACCCTCAGTTCCTGTGCAAGTTTAATGTCATTTCGCACCAACTTTTGTTTCAATTTGTAGGAAGTGAAGATCAGAATTCGGCTATAATTGCAAAGATTGTAGTACCAATTATTACATTAGCTTTTTTGTTTGGAGTACTCGTGGAACTGTTCGGAACGAAACTAAGGTTAGATTTATATTATAACTGCTGAAGAGGTACTGATGCTAAGACACTTGTTTCTATGTGTTAACTCAGTTTCCCTCATTTAGAGTGTCCAGAAACAAAAGTTAATCGGAGTATGCGTTGCTTTACAATAAAACGGAAAGACATGCGATTCATTTGTATTATTGTTGTTTAAAAATATTCTTTATACCAATTGTAGGTCAAGATGTAAAACAAACCAGTTCCGTGGTAACGAATCAAATCACACTGTAGCACAAAAAGAAACAAACGTAAAACTAGTAATTAATCAGCCGTCCACTAACAACCAAGATAATCATTCTGATCAACTTCTTATTTAGCTTAACGTATCGTTTTAAGGGTTGTTTAAAGTTGTTAATGTAACCCTTCTGTGACTATCTAATCAACAGCACTGAATAATCCAATTCGAAGCAGATGTAATATTTTGTTTAAGTAACGTCTCTATGATAGCTAGATATATAATTTTATACAGATATTATATTTTGTTTAAGTAACGTCTCTATGATAGATAGTTATATAATATTATACAGATATTGTATTTTGTTTAAGTAACGTCTCTATGATAGCTAGATATATAATTTTATACAGATATTATATTTTGTTTAAGTAACGTCTCTATGATAGATAGCTATATAATATTATACAGATATTGTATTTTGTTTAAGTAACGTCTCTATGATAGCTAGATATATAATTTTATACAGATATTATATTTTGTTTAAGTAACGTCTCTATGATAGATAGTTATATAATATTATACAGATATTGTATTTTGTTTAAGTAACGTCTCTATGATAGCTAGATATATAAATTTATACAGATGTAATATTTTGTTTAAGTAACGTCTCTATGATAGCTAGATATATAATTTTATACAGATATTATATTTTGTTTAAGTAACCTCTCTATGATAGCTAGATATATAATTTTATACAGATATTATATTTTGTTTAAGTAACGTCTCTATGATAGCTAGATATATAATTTTATACAGATGTAATATTTTGTTTAAGTAACCTCTCTATGATAGCTAGATATATAATTTTATACAGATATTATATTTTGTTTAAGTAACGTCTCTATGGCAGCTAGTTATATAATTTTATACAGATATTATATTTTGTTTAAGTAACGTCTCTATGATAGCTAGATATATAATTTTATACAGATATTATATTTTGTTTAAGTAACGTCTCTATGATAGCTAGATATATAATTTTATACAGATGTAATATTTTGTTTAAGTAACCTCTCTATGATAGCTAGATATATAATTTTATACAGATATTATATTTTGTTTAAGTAACGTCTCTATGATAGCTAGATATATAATTTTATACAGATATTATATTTTGTTTAAGTAACGTCTCTATGATAGCTAGATATATAATTTTATACAGATATTATATTTTGTTTAAGTAACGTCTCTATGATAGCTAGATATATAATTTTATACAGATGTAATATTCATTCTTGTAGTTGAGGGTTTTTATGACAGGAGTGTGAGAATTTGTTCTTCAATAATGTAATGTAATGGACTGACTATCGATTTATCAATACGCTACATGACTATGTCATAAATTTGCTCCGATATTTCACTGAAAATGCCTGATAACACATCGATCATCGATTTGCCTACTCTCATTTGAAGAGATATGGACACATTCTTTCCAGCTTATAAATATTCCAAGTTATGTTTTTGATTTTCTGTCAACTTCATTTCTTATTCATTTATGATCGTCCATATTCAAACAATATTTAGCTATATTTCCTTTAGATGTATTACGCTCTAGATAGAAAGACGGTAAATATTTTATCGATTTAGAGGTCATTATCCTTATACAAAACCGCTTCAGAACAGAACATGTCAACTAAAGCATCAAAAAGCGTCACATGTGTCTTAAATTCGTGTTCGCTGAGCACTGCAGGTGGTGATTTGGATGAACCTTTAGTAATAACACAGTTATATAATGATAAACATATTTTAATTAAACACTTTTTCGGCTATGGTATCCCCATCAGCCTCATTTACATGGAAATTACTTGGTAAGTTGGCCACGGTAACGTTAAAAATATAACATCGATTAACGTCTCCATGGAAACTCAACGTTATGCATTCGTTCATCTGGTTGCAACTTTCTTCACATTGGGTCAGATCTGTATTTTGAGATAATGAAATGATTGGTGCTCCATATAGGTAACAATTATTTTGTGCTTGTAATGCAGCGGTACACTGGGTATTATCATTACATTCTTGATCACAGTCATTCTGGTTCGGGACTTCTGATATACGTTCCAGTAATCTATGATCTATATATTTATTATTTGAATATGTGTAATCACATTCTGAAATATAAATAAAAAAATAAATAAATGAATAAATAACATGGTCCTGTCTAACCTTCAGCCCATGGGCATAATACAATAAATACATGAAAAACAAGGACATAATTTAAAATGAAAAAGTTACACACTATCTTAATTTACAAATAGTTTAGAAATACACAGGTATGTGTGTATTAGCTGGACAGTTATGTTGCTGCGATCAAGTACATGATCACAAAAAAAAAGCAAATTTCATGTCAAACAAGGAAGAAATACTGACTCATATATTAAGAAACATGCCCATACAGATCGAAAAAAATGTCTTAGAGATGAAAACAAAATATTGTATCATCACCTATTTCCTGGGATAAATATGATAGCGATCATCAGCTAATTAAAAAAAACACAGAATGAAGCACACATGATGATGACCGATTATCACTTATTTCCAAAATAACACACACGTGAGCATTGGTAGGTATCTTCTGAAAATCTGGATAGGTTCGCTGAGGAACGGAATGGTGTAGACTAGGCGATCAATTCAATGGTGTGGGTAAACATTGGTCGTCTTCAGGTTCGGAAATTGCTTTGGGGTTATCAGAATCGAATCAACTGAATCCGCTAATGGCATAGTCGGCTTGACAACCTTAGGGCGTGGTACGAAGAGGTTGTCGTCTATGATCATTGATTGACGACATTTTGCAGCACTTTGTCTAGAATATGTTTAGGTGCCCCACGCTCTTCTTCCCAATAAATATTTGGATTAGCCAAACGTAAATATTCCATATGGACCTTTTTAGTATTGCCTGGTAATTGGTGCTTTATTCGAAAATTGACCGGTGAGAACTGTTCTATTATTTTTTAATACGGTTTCCAATGAGTCGGTAATTTTCGATTACTTACTTCAAATTTTGTTTGTTTACATTTTGTATTGAAATATTCCCTATTTTTAGGTCGACTTTCTTCTAAATTAATATTGACGTCAATATAAGCTTCATTTAAGCGAGCAAGGGTAAGTAGGTACATAGTCTTCTCCGAAATAGTTTAGCTTTGGACATAAAAGGGTATCCATCGGTAAGCACACGTCTCTCCCGAAATTGAGGAAAAATGGAGAGTATTTAGAGCTACCGTGGACCGATGATTTGTATACCATGCAAATGCCAGGAAGGTAATCGTCCCAGTCACACTGATCATCACGAATTAATTTTGCCAAACTATTATTTAAATAACCGTGAGTATTTTCAATTTTTCCATTTGATGCCGGATGATAACTACTAGTTTTGATATGGTTGATATTTAATTGTTTTGTTAATTGCTTTCATACATTTGAGTTGTATTCCATGTCACGATCACTAATTATCAGTTTAGGACCACCATAGCGGGGAATAATATATGGCAACTAATTCTGTAGTTTTATTAGGCAGTGCAAACAATTCGACCCATGAGCTAAAATGATGAACAATAAATAAAATATAGCTATTGCCATTATCAGACTTTGGTAATGGGCCAACCAGGCCCGTAGCCTGACCAGTACTCCTGGGGGGCAAACGTGCAATCGAGGGGGGCAATTTAGCAAAGCACCTTGACAGACGATTAAACGTCGGGAAACGGACTTTCGTGGAGTATTTTAGATTCGAGATTATTTTTGTTAAAACACACAAGTTATAATACGTTACATTTTTATTGCCGTTTTAGTTTAAACGTAGTCGGGTATGTTTTATGGCAAAACGTTGAACAAATACGTCCAAGTTAATTTTCTTTGAAGACAAGAAGAACAAGATTGCGCTATCGAAGCTGAGTCATAGATCGTCGTTGTGGTGAGTCAACGCGAGTAAGAGTTGAAAAGCTGCTTTCACACACAGCGGTGCTAGAACCGAATGTGGCAACGTTTGCAGCCAGTGCATATAATTTAGGGAAAGTCAATTTCTGCTCGTATAGTTTTTGAAGAACAAGATTGGAGCCCTGCTTTTCTGTCTTGGCAACGTTATCTTGGAGAAATTGTTTTGACACCTCAATTGTTATGCTTCTCGAGGCCCTTTCCAGTATCACCTACAGCATGCTTCCAATCTGTGTAGCCTTCAGTGATGAAATTTTATGCACCCTCAGATGTATTGTGAAACACCCGACATGGAAATCAAAAAGGGGCGTCCCTTGACACTGAATACTCCAGCCATGGAAATCGATCATACCAGCTGTTACTAAAATGGCGACCAGACTTCGCTGGAAATTTTATTATCGGTTGCTTTGGAACGTCTTCTTTTCCAATGTCACCTGGTACTCCTGTCTTTTCAGAGCATCTTGGTACTGAATCCGTTGTGTTGCCCGCTGTGGTTTTGATACCAGTGTCAGTCGTAGAACCATCAAGCAATTTGTTTTTTTGATCAAATATTTATCCATTTATCCTACGTTAAATAGGTATTCCGGTTTAGGCATTTCTTGAATTAATTTCCGAGTAGTACATTTAACACAGGATTGAATAAAATTAACTACATCTCTGTACATATTTTCCCAAAAATATTTACTCCTAACTTTATCGTTTATCGATGCTAGTATGAGAACCAAATGGAGATTCATGAAAATATTGTATAATTTTAATTTTGAAGGAATCAGGGATGACTAATTGTAGCCGTTGGGTTTAATCATTTTGAACAGGGCGGGATATGTGATAAACTACACCGAATAAAAGAACATAGTCATCTATGGATTTATCGTCTGTGCCAGATACTAAAGCTTTTCGCAATTTGCGAATGTCAGAGTCTTACGATTGAAGTTTTCGAGGAAACGTCAATTCTAGTCTTACTGTGCGTTCGTCATGATCGTCATTGGAATCAAAGTCTGCGGTAAAATCGTCAGGCAATTCGTCATGGGCGGGTTTATCAGTGTCAATAACTAATAAGTCTTTGTCAATTTGCGCGCCATGGTTTTTGGACCGAATGCGAGACAAAAAATCAGCTTGACGTTTTTTCGAACACAGCATTTCCCCAAGCATAATACTCCAACGTTGAATACGTGGTTTTTTATTTTCCGCTGTAAATAGAGCTTTGAGGGGTTTATGGTCAGTAAAAATGGTAAAGTCAGCACCGACTAATTAATGCAATATACAATGCCTCTTTCTGTAGTGGATATCGTAAGTGAGTTGATGCGAAACATATTGAATGACTCTTTCGCCCTCGGGGAAGTCTTAATACACCACCTATTGCGTATCTGTGTATAACTTATAGGGTTTAGTTAAGTCAGGATAAGTTAATATAGGGGCTGATATAAGCTTCTCTTTTAGTGTTATAAAACTTGCGTCTACTTCAGGTGTCATAAAAATTTGGCATTTTTCTTAGTCAGATTAATTAAAGGGTGTGAAATTTCAGAAAAGTGAGGAATATACTTCCGGTAATAAGAGGCCATACCTATGAATGAACGTATTTGTTTAACATTTTTAGGCGCTGACATGTCTTGTATGGCACTAACTCTTTATGGGTTGTGCTTACTACCATCCTTAGTATGACCAAGATATCTTTGGATAGATCTCGTTAGAGGCAACCAGTTTGCTCTCAAGGTCACCAAAGGTCAAGGTCACAAGATATGAGCCTTGACATTTTTTGCCGATATTGAAAAAAATCAACCGGAAATAACTCGAAAGCAAAATCGAAATTAAAAAAAGGCTCCCACACGATTGTTAGAAATCGTTCACTGATAATAAAGACATTAAAATAATGTAAATCCGATTAAAACCTGATCCCTGATTTCCGGGAAAATTTTATCATTTGAAATCTTTATATAAACAATTCTAGCGTGTCGCAAAAAGAATTTTTCAAATATCTATAATATTACGGAAGTTAAAATTTAACATTTTCAAGCATATGTCGCCAGAACCGGAAGTGATATCAAACTTTTTTAGTTTGCAATCAAAATATCAATCTAAATTAAAAAAAAATCAAAAAAATCAAAAAGTAAGTGTCTAACGTGAAAATTTAAATTTGGGCATTAAATACTTTTGTTATATATAATAAGAAAAAGCACAAAAAGTCCATTCAGAATCTGAATACAATAACCATCTATCTTAATTAGGTCACCTGATAGAGCAGTTCAAAGTTGAGAATTGTGCTGTCTTTGGACAGTTATAAGACCGGAAGTAGAAATCGGAGATCAAATATAACAGTATCAACCGATAGTCAAGGGGAATGGCCTTTAATTCTGTAAAGGTCAATGTGACTCAAGTTCAAGGTCACTAGTTATGAGCCTTCAAACTTCGACAAATTCAACCGGAAATTGCAAAAGGCGAAATTCAAAAATCCGCTTCCCAAATTTTTTTGCTCTTCCATTTAAAATCATCAAAATCGGATGAGCCGTTATCTCACATATTTCAAGAAAATGCAAATGGCGGCCAAAATATCAATTTTCAATCTGGACATGACTGTACCCTCAGCACACTGACCTACTACCTTCCGGCCATCACTGCAGTGGGTATATGTGGTACAATTGCTAGGTACAGGTTGATAGATGCAGGCTGAAGTATATAGAGAAAATGTCATTGTCGTACAAAGTCATTCGGATCAGTGGCTCAACTACCACATGAACTGGTTGAACCAAGGCCACGGGTCCCTACCCCAGAAAAAAATGCAGGGGAGGGGCTCCACTCATCTAGTTGGTCGAATGTTTCCTATCTGAGAAGGTAATGGACGAATCTCCAAGAAACTGGTCTATTGTTGGGGTTAGTGCCTCGATATGAGCGTGTCAAACTTGTCGACTACGACTGTGCCAATTTGATTTTACACAAAAGGAGTATAAAGGAAACCTAAACACTACGCATTTTGAGATCACGGTTGGTAATAACAGTAAAGATATACTTTAGACCATGTTCATTGGGCAGCACTACTCGATCATGTTTTCTTGAAAGAAAAAGGTATCCAAATACAATCAAGCAATTAACGACGGGTCCATTACAGTTAGAAAGCGTTGAGTGGTTGCCATTGGTGTATATTCCACCTTAAACTAAGTTTAAGTTTTTTTGGAATAGTTCGTGCAAGAATCAAAATAATCGTATGATATTACCTAAGTTTCCAATGATATCTGGTTCATGTACAGATCGATACCCATAGTAAAACTTCTGTTATCATTTTTCTGGTACTTTGCTCTCTATCTGTTCAGATGGCACTTCCGAGTCAGCATGGTCACAGATTCCCTTCTTTTGGTTGAAAATCAAACCATTGTGTCACAGGATGGACGGACGGAATGCTTCGCACATCAGAATCACCCCAAAGAAGACTCAATAATAAGAGATATAAATTAACAAATTTACTTAGCCGGCAACAACACATACATAGTATACATATTTAACAACAATAAACATAAAAATATACACAACCACCCCCCAATTTCAGTTCATGATCATCTTCTTCAGCTATCATACTAATAAAAGTTCTCCCGTAAGATTTGTCCACCATCATAGTACAATTCATTACGATCTCAGTTGGTAGTTAATCAACTGGCACATCCGTAACAGATATCAATACAGATTACAGGTTACACATAACCAATAACCACACACATAGGGATACAGATTATACCCTAACAAAAGGTTGGTCGTCTACAGTCGTGTCTCCATAATTCGTTACTAGATAGACACAGAAATGCCTTGTTGCGTCACCCAGACAACATTTCCAACACCATTAGATGGATACTAACTTTATATAATTGTCATCCAGACTATTAGTACCATCTTATAAGTTACCATAGAACTATACCATATCAGCTATCAACCATTTTCATTATGTCACCCAAGACTAGTCGAAGTCTACATTACAAAAAGTAGAGCTGAGGAAACTAATGGATTTTTATCATCAAGACATCTACGACTACGATGAAACGCTGAACGACCAGACTAAAGACAAAACTCTGATTAAATCAGAATGAGCCACGAAACTAAATACTTCGAGCCATATATACCCTGTGTTACCAATGCACGTGCTAAGCCTGCTTTGAAACTATTAAAGTTACACGTCAATACATTTTCGATTAACCAGACCCTAAATTATTCACATAAATATACACTGTGATAATCTAATCTATATAAACAACAAAACAAACTTTAAAGATACAGTCTCCCTTAAAGAGAGGTTACACCAAAAATCTAACACGACTTTGTGACACATTGGAGCAAGACATCGGCAGGAATCGAAAGTGATACTTCCAACACTATACAAACTTACTCAGAGGGAACAGCGACGATATCTAGATTAGAAGAACTAATTTTATCCTTTTTTTTCTCAGATATCTCGTGTTTCAGAATGAATGATACAAGCAGTGAAATGAGGTTTCATGTTAAACTTTTATCTTCAACAATAACTAGCGATGAGTGGTATACGTGGACAATCACAGCCCCTAGAATCGAGAAATTCATTCTTACATTTGGCATAGTAGTCGGGACTAATATCACGGTCGACATTTTCAGTATTGGAAACACATTTTCCAATCCAGGGGTTGCAGATTCCATCGTCTTTACATGGTCTTCTCAAATATTCCCTTCTATTGTTAAAATGGTAGTACTAGGTACAGTCCGCTTTTACCATATAGATACGACACATCTTCTAATGGCTCTGGTGGAAGTTTCAGTGACTACTCTGGGCTATAGCTACTCCCAAGAGAGCTGCTGCTACGACAAAGGTCAGCATTGTACAAATCTGAAACCTGAATTAAAATTTCAAATCAATGCAAGTGGTTTATATAGGTATTTTTAATGGGTGTTAGGTCTCTACTAAAGTCGAGTTGCACAATATAGCTAATAGAGTGAAACCGCAAAGTCAGACACGATATTTCGGTGAAAAATTGTCAAATCATCACGAACTTCGATAGGGATCATCTTCATAATAACATTGACCCACAAAATAAAAAGCAAATGTGAACGAACGGACCGATGGGGCGAATACTGTATACGACCAAATTATTATATGGGCGTATAAAAAAGTGGAATACCCCTTTAAATATACATTCGTTGTCATTTCCAATATTATTCATAGTATTTGGCGGAAATTTAGTCTTCGTTTTCAGATCTCTTTGACTCAATTCAGACAGTTCGGAATTTTACACCCACTGGGTACATAGGTAAATGACTAGTCAACATTTGCTGCCAGTTTATGTTGATATCGCAAACTAGGTATAGTTGTTGGTAGTCGTAGTGGTTGGTAGTTGGATTGGTTAAATTGGATGTTGAAGTGTCAAAGTCTCACCTGTTGAATGCTGATCTGGCATCTGTCATTTTGAATACTCTCAATGATGTTGATGTATGAAGTGTCAAAGTCTCATGTGTTGAATATTGATCCGGCATCTGTCATTTTGAATACTCTCAATGGGTGTTGATGTATGAAGTGTCAAAGTCTCATGTGTTGAATATTGATCTGGCATCTGTCATTTTGAATACTCTCAATTTAAAGCGATTTAAGTTTATGTAGATAACAGGCACTAGCAACTAACACAATACTTAACGAGCCAAAAAATCATTCTTTCTTCCAGAAACCACAAAATGAGGGTTGATTTGGGCCTTGAATAAATGCAAATAGTCCTCATAACTATGAGAACTGAGTGGATTGTCTTGCAGCTAAAATACCAATGGCGTCATTACAAAATGCATTTGTCAAGTACAATTGTCGATTTGTAAAAATACAAAATGTATAAGTATTATCTAAAATCCAATTAAAATGCCGCACGAATGCAGATAACATTTCACACATTTAGTTTTAAAGCTGCAACACAATACTTCCATACAAGAATACCTCAAACTAGGAATTTCACTTTTTATATATTTCATTCACAAGCTTATCCCAATTCAGAAAATTTAGGTATCCTAAAGATGTAAGTTTTGAGAATTCCAAATAGAAAACACCAATGACATCTCTCTACAATAAATATTGATTTATCAAGTTTATCAATTTTTTTACACATGGCTAAGAATGCTCAAATTTTGGCGGTAGGTTGTGGGCACTATTGCTGATTAGTTGAGCGCAACAAGTCCTGTTTCTTGAGAAGATACTTTGGATGCTAGAATATGGCGAATCTGTCGCTTTAATTTCCTGTACTTTTGAGATCTATACTAGACTGTAATTCTTCTATTGTGTTGTCTATTTTGAAAATGTACAGAATAGTAGGAATTTTAGGTTGAGCAATGTTTCGAAAGGACAGGCACAGTCATGTAATTTTAGGGCTTGACTTTAATTCTATTATCTTAGCGAAGGTATAGATCACAAACCAGACCTGGTAACTCACAAATCACAGCTGTACAACCGTTAATACATAAAGTGTCCAACTCTCGCCTGCTGATCTGGCATATGTCATTTTGAATACTATCTATTTAGGTATAGTTAGCTATTTTGGGTCCAATGCCATGCAGCACCAAACTCAGACTGTAATTCTTCTATTGTGTTATTGCTATGTTGAAACTATCCTGAACTATTCAGGAAACGTGCCTCTTTATTTCTGCATGACATACCGAAGATGAATATATTCTTGTCATTTTGAAAAGGTACAGAGTAGTAGGAATTTTAGGTTGGGCAATGTTACGAAAGCACACAGTCATTTAATAGTCGTGCTTGACTATAATTCTATTATCTTAGCGACGGTATAGGACAGAAGGACATAAACCTCATTTTATTATCTTTCCACGGGAAAGCCGTGAAAGTCAGATATAGAATATAGATTTGGGGGGTTGGGATATATTTTGGTAAAATCGTTAGATTAGATTAAGACTTTTGTGTGTGCAGACTCTTGTATCTTGTAATAATTTAACTATATAAATACAGCTACTTATTTTATCACAGTGTTGTGTGTTATATTTAAAATCGAGACAGAGGATACATGTTCTCCTTTCATTTTTATACCAAAATAACGCTACAGTAACAGCAATTTACGCCTTACATTACATATGGGGACGAAGATGGAAAAATAAGGTCTGATATGTCTTGAACACGCTAAAAGTTTTGTAACCATTACAGTTTATTACTCAGAAATATAAAAATATAGAAAATGACAGAAAGAATATATTTTAATATCTTCACAATGTCAATTATGTTACTATTGTATCTCGGAAGTTTTAGACATTCAACGATTTGGAATAGATTGTACGTTAGCGGATACAGCAAATCAGAGCTCTCGACAGAAAGACTGTAACAATTTGGTTGCGAGTGTAATCGAGGGGTCTGATTAACTGTATTTGCTAGCGTACAATCCAATCAAATCGCTGCATTTACACACTTCTTTTGTTGCTATGCTTGCGTTTTCATCTAGCAAATCATTGGCAACTCACAAATCACAGCTGTACAAACGTTGATATATAAAGTGTCAAACTCTCGCCTGCTGATATGGCATATGTCATTTTGAATACTCTCTATTTAGGTTCAGATAGCTATTTTGTTATAAATACTTACTCGTTTCATCATTACTTCATACAATAATTTGTAAACAGTAATCATGCTTTCAATTCGAGTATTGGGTGTGTTCGTCGTTATTGTGGTCGCATTAGTTTTAGTAGAGTCTGACGTTGAACTTTGTGAAGACGATGTGAACGGTAAGTATAACCTTACGGTGAAAATTAGATGTCATCCGAATGCAAAGAAACTTCGGAATGAAATTGTGTTTTTACATCCTAAGATTCGGCTTTAGTTTGAGCTGATGAAGACTGTAGTATGTAGTGAGTGAAATTTACCAGGGCAGTGACAGTCAACGATGTTAAATAACACTCCGAGTCTGATTAAAGAATTGTGTAGGTAGAAAACGTCAAATGCTCAGAACTGTTATCTTCAAAGTGCGTTATCCCATCTTTCCATCTAAATAGGTCAAGACTACAAACCCATAGAAAACAAATATCTAATAACGAACCAATCGAAACTGAAAATGACGTGATAAAGATACACTTGGTCAAAATAATAATTATGTCGCAGCTCACAGTATTTACCTATTTATTCATTGTTTGCTTGTTTTTTTTTTATATATTTTTTACTGTATTTCCCATTCCACATGTGATGTTGTGTGGTTCTCATACCTACATTGATTATATATTTATTCATTTTAGTTTGTGATGGTGAACTTCCAGCCAATGCGATGTGTTCAGGAGAGAATAATAAAACCAAGCGATGTCAGTGTAAAAAGGGATATAAAATGAGTTTGGACATCGATTGTAAATCGAACGGCTCGGTATTTTCCTGCCAGGGTAAGGTTCTATCTCCTTATCCTTATTATCACTGGGGTGGACAAAGGGAGACATTTTTACTTTTTGTTACTTTTTTATTTTTTTTTTTTTTAATGAGTCTGGTCAACTTATCTACAGGAAACATTGAATTCTTATAGAGTTAAAAATGACTCCGAATTCAAGAAAAGGCCCCATTAGTGTAGAGGCAAATTGTTTTGGTCCACGCTCAGTGCTGTTTACAGCCCTAGTCACCTATCTGTTGTTTTCTTCAGATATAGATGAATGTGCAACCAATAATGGATCGTGTGAATATAAATGTCAAAATGAACCTGGTAGTTATAACTGTTCGTGTCCAGAGGGGTCTGAATTACAGGAAAACGGTTTGAATTGTGGACCAAGTGAACCAGGTAAAGTAGTTATACATTATATATTATATAGGAATATCACATAACTCAAGCGTGATATTTGCCCAAACTTATCAAAATCTCGCACTTTCAGTAAATTATTGGATCAATATAAATAAATTTGTATAAGTTGTCTCGTAAATTTATGTATCTATTTCAGCTGTAGGGTGTCCACAAGGTGTGAATATCACTAACTCTGATGATGTAACAGAATCCAGAATATTTGATGAAGATTTTAGTTTTAATTGTACTCTAACTGGTGTGAAGGGTATTCTGAGATGTGGTGAAAATGGTACCTGGACAGAAAAGCAAGCTTGTCCAAGTATGTGATCAATATTCTTATACATTTCTTTCAATGAAAAAACCAAGATAATTGTGTACATCCAGGGATGACTTTAAACTTGAACATAGAAAGTCCACTTTATTTAAGGCAGTTTGAATAATAATCGTCACAATATTAGTCGGATTTAATATGAAATACTTTCTCACTCCAAAACAAAATACGGTAGAAGCTATATTTGATTCATATAAAGAAAAACTCTTTTTTTTATAACGACCAGTATTTATGTTTCAGGTGTAAGAATAAATGAATATTTTTTTGTGTTTCCGAGACCTGTTAGAATTACCGTACCCGATAGTAATTGTTCAAGAGCTTGTGCTGACATCTCTACGTGTGAATATTCTTATTTAATAAGTCCGGGCTCATGCGGCTATTTTCTAAAACCAGTCCTATTCCTGAATCCACTTACCAATACAAGTCTTTCTCAATGCATTCAGAAATGTCTAGAAGATACAAAATGCCTGACAATGTCTTACAAAGATACTTGCATTTTATTCAGTGCCGACTTCGTCACAACAGATTCTAGATTTAGTCGTTTATTTGGTGAAGGGGGAATCATTCTTTATCTTTAGTAGCCCGTGTTGTCATCTTATTGAAATCACAAGCTTGTTTTATTAAAATACGTGTTTACGTGTCCTGTACAGAAGTGTCGTCATTTTTTCATTGCATCTCAAGCGGGTGCACCTCAAGTTTGACAGAATTTCACTCACGTACGATGATCATAAAGCGTCGATAAGAAATTCACCAAACAAATGTATTGGGGACACTGATAATCGTCAACCATGCATTATCACATAAGAAAGACTCTTCACGATTAGTGACATCAAAAAATTGTGCAAATTGATGCTATCAGTGTCTTCGATACACATAAAAAATAATAGAAAACCACTTTACAGTCCCTTTAAGACGGAATATACATTTACTCTGTCAACAATTTCATTATGCATCATGTTGACCACAAAAGAACAAAGTAAGTCAATAGAAGGCCCCGGTCCCAAATCTTGGGTCCTTATACCAATTTGTCAAGGGGCGGACCATTGGGACCAGGAACCCGTTTAGATAATCAAACCAAGGACAATATAAATATTGTTTAACAGTTATAGATTTATAATATCAGTCAAAGTGAGACAACTCTTGATTGGGAAATTTATTCAGACCACAATGGATTTTTTAAAACCAAAAGCTGTTTTTCTGGAAATCAGCGAGTTTTGCATTATAGGACTAATTTTCTTTTTGATTAACCATCATGGTTTTCATGAATTGCTTTATCTTCTAAACATTACAACAGCCCCAATATTAATACTCGTCTCTTTCATACTAATATATCGCAAACAGAACCTGAAATCCAAAACACCTTAAGGAAACGATTTTGATGAATTAGGGATGTGGACTGTTCTTGTTCTATGTCCAGAAGAAATCAATCATGGGAAGGTGAAAAAGAATTTCAACAGTTCAAATATATCAAACTTTGGAAACACTCAAACAAATTGAGTTTCTGAGATGATTGACTCAGTGTCCGACTTTCATTCCATGTTAACCTATGAAGTCAATAATACCGTATTTCCCTCCTGTGGTCAGAGTCCTGCCCCTTTTATGGCCAATCCTTCAGAGAGCAAAGTATTCGAAAGTCTCGTAGAATTAACTAGGGCAGAGTCTCTGTTTTTCTCCTTTTCCTCTTCCAACACCTTCAATTTCATATACCTCCAATTTCATATACCTCCAATTTCATATACATCCAATTTCATACACCTCCAATTAGGTATTTTGCTTTCAACCCCCCTATATGGTTAATCCTACAGAGCGAAAAGTTTTCGAAAGTCTCGTAGAATTAACTAGGGATTAGCAATATTGCATAAGTATCCCTCTTAATCTAGAAAATACATAAATATGATTCTCTTGAACAAAATATAAAATAAAATAAAAGCAAAAAAGAAAATAAGAAGAAAAAAAATATACCACAAAAAATGAAAAGCATAAAAAAAAGCAAATATCATGTCAAACAAGGAAGAAATACTGACTCATATATTAAGAAACATGCCCATGCAGATCGAAAAAAATGTCTTAGAGATGAAAACAAAATATTTCACACATGATGATATTGTATCAACACCTATTTCCTGGAATAGATATGATAGCGATCATCAGCTAATTAAAAAAAAGTATGAAGCACACACGATGATGACCAATCATCACTTATTTCCAAAATAATACACACGTGAGCATTGGTAGCTATCTTCTGAAAATCTGGATAGGTTCGCTGAGGAACGTAATGGTGTAGACTAGGCGATCAATTCAATGGTGTGAGTAAACATTGGTCGTCTTCAGGTTCGGAAATTGCTTTGGGTTAATCTGGGTGGGATATCTTCTGGGGAGGCTCTTTGGCGTTTCTTTGAAACTGGTAATACTGCCGAATAAGTTGTTGCCAATTGAGTGGCATTCGATGACTGCACTATTTGCTGTTTTAGATTTTTCAATGTCCTTCGAGGTCTGATACATTTATTACAGAAAAAATAGGAAGAGAATAAGAGGACGAACAAGGCGATAAGAGAGACGAGAAAGTAATATTGCCAATGAGCTTTCATTGTAAAGGGATTATTCATCATGGGATTGGAATACTTGATGTCCTGAATATCCGTAAGTAAGCGGTGTAGATTCTTAGATAATAAATTTAGAAAGGGTCTTGAGTAATGTTTTCCCAGAAAGGGTGATGGAATTGGGGTTATGAACTAATGAACTAAGAACTAAATACACAAGAAGATTCAACGACTCTTAACTAAGATTTACAAAGGACCAACATAACTAGAACTATACAACATATAATCAATAATTGGACCACACAATAAGGCCGACTGAGATTTCATGGTTGAATGAAATCAGCGGAGATCAGTAAACAAAACAAAAATGATCTATTGTAATTAACACCTAGTTAATACACCCTTATTAAGTAATACGCACCTAATCCTACGATATGGTGGTTAATAAGGTATTACCGCAGACGTAACTTCCGGATAATCAAAGTTGATCACCTGGAACAACTGGCCGATATTATGAACTATTATCATTTCATGTCTCTACAATTTAGAGTAAACAACTTATTTAGTGACGGTACTAACTATAAAAAGATTCTTCGGAATCCGAGCTATCATAATCCGTCGGAGGATATTAGTTATTAATTATAAGACATGGGCTCAGCATGCTTACCTAAAGCATCTTAAACGTGAGCTAAGGGCAGATCATCTTCGGAATCGAATCAACTGAATCCGCTAATGGCATAGTCGGCTTGACAACCTTAGGACGTGGTACGAAGAGGTTGTCGTCTATGATCATTGATTGACGACATTTTGCAGCACTTTGTCGAGAATATGTTTAGGTTACCCACGCTCTTCTTCCCAATAAATATTTGGATTAGCCAAACCTTAATATTCCATATGGACCCTTTTAGTATTGCCTGTTAATTGGTGCTTTATTCGAAAATTGACCGGTGAGAGCTATTATTTTTTAATACGGTTTCCAATGAGTCGATAATTTTCGATTACTTACTTCAAATTTTGTTTGTTTACATTTTGTATTGAAATATTCCCTATTTTTAGGTCGACTTTCTTCTAAATTAACGTTGACGTCAACATAAGCTTCATTTAAGCGAGCAAGGGTAGTAGGAACAAAGTCTTCTCCGAAATAGTTTAGCTTTGGACATAAAAGGGTATCCATCGGTAAGCACACGTTTCTCCCGAAATTGAGGAAAAATGGAGAGTATTTAGAGCTACCGTGGACCGATGATTTGTATTCCAAGCAAATGCCAGGAAGGTAATCGTCCCAGTCACACTGATCATCACGAATTAATTTTGCCAAACTATTATTTAAATGAGTTGTATTCCATCTCACGATCACTAATTATCAGTTTAGGACCACCATAGCGGGGAATAATTTATGGCAACTAATTCTGTAGTTTTATTAGGCAGTGCAAACAATTCGACCCATGAGCTAAAATGATGAACAATAGATAAAATATATCTATTGCCATTATCAGACTCTGGTAATGGGCCAACGTGGTCTATTCCGAGTATTTCGAAAGGGTATTCCGGTTTAGGCATTTCTTGAATTGTTTGTTTCTTTGTCTTATTAATTTCCGAGTAGTACATTTAACACAGGTTTGAATAAAATTAACTACATCTCTGCCAGTATGAGAACCAAATGGAGATTCATGAACATCTCGTAAAAATTTAATTTTGAAGGAATCAGGGATGACTTATTGTAGCCGTTGGGTTTAAACATTTTGAACAGGGCGGGATATGTGATAAACTACACCGAATAAAAGAACATAGTCATCTATGGATTTATCGTCTGTGCCAGATACTAAAGCTTTTCGCAATTTACGAATGTCAGAGTCTTCCGATTGAATTTTTCGAGGAAACGTCAATTCTAGTTTTACTGTGCGTTCGTCATGCTCGTCATCAGAATCAAAGTCTGCGGTAAAATCGTCAGGCAATTCGTCATGGGTGGGTTTATCAGTGTCAATAACTAATAAGTCTTTGTCAATTTGCGCGCCATGGTTTTTGGAACGAATGCGAGACAAAAAAATCAGCTTGACGTTTTTTCGAACCAGAATATGTTTGATATCACACTGCATTTCCTCAAGCATAATATAACCAAACGTTGAATACGAGGGTTTTTATTTTCCGCTGTAAATAGAGCTTTGAGGGGTTTATGGTCAGTAAAAATGGTAAAGTCAGCACCGACTAATTAATGCAATATACAATGCCTAATCGTTCTCTTTCTGTAGTGGATATCGTAATTGAGTTGATGCGAAACATATCGACTCTTTCGCCCTCGGGGAAGTCTTAATACACCACCTATTGCGTATCTGTGTATAACTTATAGGGTTTAGTTAAGTCAGGATAAGTTAATATAGGGGCTGATATAAGCTTCTCTTTTAGTGTTATAAAACTTGCGTCTACTTCAGGTGTCATAAAAATTTGTCATTTTTCTTAGTCAGATTAATTAAAGGGTGTGCAATTTCAGAAAAATGTGGAATAAACTGCCGGTAATAAGAGGCCATACCTATTAATGAACGTATTTGTTTAACATTTTTAGGTGCTAACATGTCTTGTATGGCACTAACTCTTTATGGTTGGGCTTACTACCATCCTTAGAAATAGTATGACCAGGATATCTTTGGATAGATCTCGTTCAAGGCAATCACTTTGCTCTCAAGGTCACAAGATATGAGCCTTGAAATTTTTTGTCGATATTGAAAAAAATCAACAGGAAATAACTCGAAAGCAAAATCGAAATTAAAAAAAAAGGCTCCCACACGATTGTTAGAAATCGTTCACTGATAATATAGACATTAAAATAATGTAAATCCGATTAAAACCTGATCCCTGATTTCCGGGAAAATTTTATCATTTGAAATCTTTATATAAACAATTCTAGCATGTCGCAAAAAGAATTTTTCAAATATCTATAAAATTCTGGAACAGGACAAAAATATAGTTAAAATTTAATATTTACAAGCATATGACGCCAGAACCGGAAGTGATATCAAACTTTTTAGTTTGCAATCAAAATATCAATCTACCTGTAGAAAATAATCAAAAATTTAAAAATCAAAAAGTCAGTGTCTAACGTCAAAATTTTTAATTTGGCATTAAATACTTTTGTTATATATAATAAGAAAAAGCACAAAAAGTCCATTCAGAATCTGAATACAATAACCATCTATCTTAATTAGGTCACCTGATAGAGCAGTTCAAAGTTGAAAATTGTGCTGTCTTTGGACAGCTATAAAACCGGAAGTAGAAATCGGAGATCAAATATAACAGTATCAACCGATAGTCAAGGTCAATGGCCTTTAATGTGACTAAAGGTCAAGGTCACTAGTTATGAGCCTTCAACCGGAAATTGCAAAAGGCGAAATTCAAAAATCCGCTTCCTACGTTTTTTTGCTCTTCCATTTAAAATCATCAAAATCGGATGAGCCGTTATCTAACGTATTTCAAGAAAATGCAAATGGCGGCCAAAATATCAATTTTCGTGTCTGGTTAATGCCTCTGATTTTGTAAGTCATAACGATATCTATCTTTTAGTATACGTTTCAGTTACTTTCATTCATAATACAGGAAGTGGGCCAACCGGAAGTTTGCACATCGATTTCGTGAAAACCGGAAGTGATGCAAAAATTTTGATTATGCCAATTTGTTTTCTGTTGCAATCGGACAAATATCAGAAAAAATCAAAAATTTCCTCAAAATTTGCAAAATTTGGCTCAAAAATGTGTGCTACGAATTTTCGAAATTGGAAACCTATTGGATATTTTTGGGAGATCCCATAATTGAAAATTCACTCAAAAAATGCGCCTTCCAGAGCAAATTTTCTACTTTTTGCACATTTTGCACTGTGTAACTAACCGTTCCAATTCATATTCATTCAGCAAATAGACCACACATGTAGATGTAAGGTATTGCCATATTGCTGCAACTATTAGACATTCTTCAGATTAGGCGACACAAAATCATATTTTTTTGAAATTACGAAAACAAAGCAGTGTGTTCGATGGAACGCACTACAAAAAATACACATGACTAATTCATCAAAATCGTTTCCTTAAGGTGTTTTGGATTTCGGGTTCTGTTTGCGATATATTAGTATGAAAGAGAGGAGTGTTAATTTTGGGGCCGTTGTAATGTTTATAAGATATAGCTATTTATGAAAACCATGAAATCAAAAGGAAAATTATTCCTGCAATGCAAAAACTCGCTGATTTCCAGAAAAACCGCTTTTGGTTGTAAAAATCCATTGTGGTCTGAATCAATTTCCTAAACAGAGTTGTCTCACTTTGACTGATATTATAAATCGATGACTGTTAAACAATAGTTATTGCAGTGCGTTTGTTTTGGTGGGACTTTGCTTTCAGCAAAGTCCCAGTTTGTTATCGAAATGTCCATTCTTTTTTTTTTTTTTTTTTTTTTTTTTTTTTTTCGTTTCATCCACACCTTCCCGAGCTTAGACTGCAGTAGTTGTATTAACGTTTTGAATTTCATAGACCTTCTATATAGGTGACGATGTGCATAAATATAAATTGGAACATTTTTGCAAAACCGGAAGTGCCACAGTTCAACATGTGCAAAAAGTCGAAAATCGGCTCTAGAAGGCGCATTTTTGCATCGATTTTCTTCGGGTTTTCATTTTTACAATCTACCTGTAATTTCTGACCTGATAGCACTTGAAAAATTACGAAATTCGAAAATTCGTCGCTCACTTTTTTCGATCAAATTTTTCGATTTTTTTGCAACTTTTTTGCTTTTGCATCGATTGATCTGAAATTTTAAATGCAAAGAGACTTCACTAATGTTAATAATATGATACAGTCAAATTTTGTACGTCATTTCCGATTTTCAACAGGAAAGCGACTGAACTTTAAATCTACTTCCGGTTGAATAACTTCCGGTGTAATTTATGTAGGTCAACAAAATTTGGCTGATCTTTGGCAAATAAAATTTTATGGCCGATTTTAAAATAAAATCCAGACCGGAAGTGATAC